AGTGTTGTCTTACAATTTGTTGATGCCCTAGAAGTAAAGGCTTCCAAATTACCCTATGATATATATTTTGACAACTATTTTACCACGCTACTCCTTTTGGAAGAACTTATATCAAGGGGATGTAAAGAAACAGGTACAATAAGAGAAAATCGCCTAGGGAAAGATTGTGACATTGAGGGTTCAGACACACTGAAAAAGAAAGAAAGGGATTTGTTTGACTACTGCACTGCAGAGAAAAGTGAAATAGTAGTTTGCAAATGGAATGACAATAATGTTGTTTCCATAATATTCAATCACAACCAGATATATCCAACAAAGCAAGTACAGGGGTATTCTCAAAAAGAAAAAAAGAAGGGCTTGTTGATCAACCTAATATTATAAAACAGTATAATGAAAACATGGGTGGCGTCGATCGGGCAGATGAAAATATCAGCTACTACAGTGTAGTCATCCGTGGCAAGAAATGGTATTTTCCCATAATAAGCCAGATAGTGGATCTAGTAGAACAAAATGCCTGGCAATTCCATAAATTAGTGGTGGTAAAATGGACCATTTACAGCATCCTCGCACAATTACAGTAGGCATCCTTGAATCTTTTAAAAAGACAACAAAAAGAGGACCCAGCAAACCTTTAGCCAACTTGCATCGTCACTCAAGATACGATCGGATGGACCACCTTATTGTCTATAAGGACACTCAAACTCGTTGTGCTGCTTGTCACAAAAAATGTAATTTTTGCTGCAATAAATGTAATGTAGCACTACATCCAAAACAATGTTTTTATAAATATCATACAAATTAGATATCTAAGATTTTTTTATCTTAATTTGTTGAAATAATTAAAATAAAAAACTTTGTTTTAGAATTTTGGTACTTTTATTTATTTTTTATTTACAATCAGTGATTTTGCCACCGTGCTTCTAAAAGGACACCCTTTTTTGAAAAAGATCTCATCAATATAAGACAATAAAAGTTTCGGCCTTAAATGGGCCAATGAGAAGACATTAAAAACTTTTAAAACCCACAAAATTGTCACAAATGGTTAATTTATTTTAAAAATGTTTAGAAACCTTTTAACATTGAAAATAAATATATTTATTAGATATTTTTCTAGTACTTCTTGGATAATAGAAACCATGATAAATATATCGCTTTAAAGATAGTCCCTTATTAAGAATTATGTTCCACAATTTAACATTGTGTTTTTGGGATTTTTTTAAAGAATCTACTACTAATAGTAAATGCGTTTTATTTACTATAATTTCTTTGTTTAATAATATGTTTTTAACAGATAGCAATGAGTAATGATCAAATGATGGACGTCAAGGTATTTATCGACATATAAATATTTTCTTAATATTGTAGGTAATTAAATAAATGTTCTGTTCATTGCCATTTCAAATGACACTCTATTTCTTAATTCAGGGAAATATAGTTTTAATAGTATTCGTTAGCTATCAATAAATGAGTTTAATCTAGACAAAAACTAAATTTTATGGTTTTTAAATTTGGTTGTTGCTTTAATCCTCAATTCTTTTTCACGTATAAAATTATTAAAAAATAATGGTTTTTATACGAAAATTACACTTTTCTACCATGTATATAAAGTTCAATATCCTCTAATGTAATTGAATAAATGTTTTAATTCCTTATAAACTTATTAACCACATACAGCATTATTATTTACAGTGTAAAATTGCCTTTTTCATTACACAAAGTGCTGTTAAAATTGGCGTAAAACCAACATCCTTAATTTTCGCCTAATTGTTTTTTTTTTCAAATGGGACACCCTGTACGGAATACGTTTTTTCAAAAAAATATGTTTTTCACTATCGATCTGTATTATATATGAACGAACTTCTAAAGTACAAAGGATTTAATTTGACCAAACAATTGTTAAAACTAATCTATATAAGTAAGAAGTAAAATGTAGAATAGAGAAGGCTAGGAGTGCATTCAACAACATGGCGAAACTCTTTAAAAGCCACAATCTTAATCTGTATATAAAATTAAGGTTCCTACGATGTTATATCTTCTCGATATTATTCTATGGAGTTAAATCCTGGACACTCGCTGAAACGATGGAGAAAAATCTTAAAGCCTTCGAGATGTAGTTATACGGACGGGCAAGATAACCAACGAGCCTGTACTACAAAGAATGAGGAAAGAAAGAGAAGTGATGTATAAAGGAGAAAGTTTGAATATCTCGGACATAATGAGAAACTGCATTAATACAGATTACTGAAAATAATCCTAAGGCAAAGTATTCGGAAAGCGAGGATTTGGGAGAAGAAGAATATATGGTTATAAAAGCTAGGGAAATGGTTCTCCACAATAACAATTAATCTATTTAAAGCATCAGTTAATAAAATCATTATAACCAGAACGATCACCAATATTCGAAACTAATAGGCACTAAAAGAAGAAAAATTCAAATTAGTCCGAATTTCTTAAGAATAGAGATCAAGAATCCTAATATCGGACTCGAAGCAAATCGGACCCGAAAAATTACAGAGAAATTAATTTATTAAACACAACACTAACAACACTAAAATTAATGACCAAAGTGATAACAAATAAACTGACATAAAATATATTACGACATAAAAATTATTAGACAAAATTTCTATGATAATGAAGCAAAGAACAAAAATGCTCAGGATAACAAATTAGCACAGATGATGAATATTAAGGAAATAAAATGCAAAGGAAGAGAAAGAATGGTAAATCACATAATTTGCACACAGAATTTTATGTTAGTTTTTATTTAAATAAACCAAGCTTTAGCATCAGTACATATTTATTTTTCGATTACACTTTGTAAGGTCTCTGATTGAGTATTTTTTAGGTTTGGCATAATAGCAAGAAAATCTTTGTTTGCCAAAAATTATTTTCCTCTATTTTTAATTGTGGTCAAGAAGAATTCATACGATAGTGAGAAAAAAGATTCTTGGCACTAGTATAAAAGACAATCGTGGTGGAGACAGAAAGTCCAAGAAAAAATGCGCTTAAATTAAAAAGTGTCATGAAATTTATTTCGTCTTTGAAGGGCCATGAAAGCCACTATAGTAGAGGCAAGTCAAGAAGAATCTATTTGTCATTTGAGTTAAACATAAAAAAGCTGTGGGAGATGTATAATGATCAGATTCCAGATAATTCACTCCAAACAAACTACAAGTACTTTAGTCGAATTTTCAACAATAAGTTTAATATAGGTAGATATTATTAAAAAAATGTTTTTTATTTTATACTAAGTTGCCCGTTTGTTTTAGCCTTTGGAAGTCCAGCTACTGATGTTTGTGGCTTTTGCATAAGAACAAACACTGAGATAAATACCACCAAGGATGAAGAGCAAAGATTAAAATTAAAAATGGATTTAACTATTCATAAGACGCGAGCAAAGCAGTTTTTTAAATCAATGAAAGAGGAATCTGCTGATAGCGTGACATATTGCTTTGATCTTCAACAGGTCAAAATCTTGCAAAGGCGCCTATTACGGAAGCATTCTATTCTTAGCAACTGGCTTTTTATGCATTTTGTGTGACAGATATTTTAACAAAAACTCCTGTTTTTTATACATGGCTTGAGCATGAAGCAGGAAGAGGTGTGGTAGAAATAAGTTCTGCGTTGACTGACTTTCTAAAAAAGACTGATTTTGACCCAGATATTAAACATTTAAGATTGTTTTCGGACGGATGTGGAGGTCAAAATAAAAATTCCTACATGGTACATGCACTCACCTTGTGGCTGTTGAATAATGCCCCAAAAACTATTCAAACACTTACGATGAAATTTCCCGTTCGTGGCCATTCGTTTATGCCAGCTGATCGAGTTTTTGGTCAAGTTGAGCTAGACTTACGTTCCCATGCTTTTATAAAGTCACCAGAAAAATATTATGAAATCTATTCTAAGAAAGGACAAGTGCGCAAGCTGGGATCTGATTGGACTTTGTATGACATAAAACATGCAGCACTTTCACTCAAAGTTATAGGTATCAGTGAAGCCAAAAGAATAATCATAACTCGAGGCAAAAAAACTGCTGGGGAAAGTAAAATCTTGTATAAAACAGAGGTTTTATACCGAAATTATGACAATTTTAAAAAGTTTTCAAATTTAATTCAACCAAAGAAAAAACTAAGTGACATAGTACTGCCGGAATTGCCAACGAAGCATGCTGTTAAGAAGAAAAAACTGGATAGCTTATCAAAATTTTTAGTTAGTCTATCAGGCAAAGAATGGGCATTAGATCCAGAATTAACTTGGTAAGATCCAATTTTGAAGGATCAGTATGGTGAAAATGTAATTGAAAAGGACCAGACCTGCGATCAATGTGAAGATGGAGAAGAATGCTGCTGTCTTCTGGAGGACGACATACATGTCATATGATTTTTTTTACTACAGACATTGCTTTACAAACACGAATTTTTAGTTCATATTTTGATTTTAATCACTTAGGGAAAATAAAACCACATTTTGTCCTTCAAAGACAATCAAATGGCGTTTTGTCCATCATTAAAATTTTTTTTTTCAAAAAACTAATAAAGCTTGTTGTTTCTTATAAATAGGGTAAGTTGATAATAAAAAATTACATTTTTTCATATTTTGTGTTTTATTTTTAACTTTATTAATAATCGAGTAGAAGTTTTTCTCATTTCCTGAAAAATTTTAAAAATGGACAAAGTGCGATATGAAAGTCTGCTCCTCATATACAAAAAATGTAACATTTTAAGAGTAAAAATTTACCTAACCAGTTATAATTTATTATATTGTATATAACTTATTGTTTTCTCGCTAAAAACCTACAATGTTGATGTGGTAAATTAGGTATTTATATTGGATCTATAGAAATGATACCTAATTTGTCTGAATAAACGAAGATAAAGAAGAAAGAAAAATAAGATGACACGTGTGCCCTATTAAAAAAAATTTAAAATGCTTGCAAGGTTTATTTTTTTATCTAAATCAGACTTTTTTAAAAAAGAAATAGTATTTATACGAACCTTTATTGTCAAATTGGTTTTTTGTAGCATTTAGTTCGATAGAAACCATTCCCTCTGGTTCCCGAAAAGACTCAACACTGGTGGAAGGTTGTTCATTATTTTTACGCACTTTCTTTGGAGAGTTCATATTAAAAAACTAGTACACTATACGTTAGTAGGTTACCGAGGCAACAATAATTGTATATTTAGATTTTGCGAAATTAGCAGTAGGTATAGAATTTTAGAGTCAGCAATTTCAATTTTGTTGTTATTTTCTAAATGTAAATATTTCAACATGTTATAGAACAACACATATTTTTTATAAGGCAAATGACGCAAATAAGTCTGTGTATAAAATACATTTTCATATGTAAGAATTGTAGGTGGCTTTATGTTAAACATGATATTTAAATTAGCTAAATTATACACTATACGGATTAAACAAGTTCTACTTCTTTAAACTCTTTTTACCGATAGGCTGTCGGATTTTTTTTATCTGTGTAGTTCATCCCTATGGATTTCTCTTCTTTTACCATTTTAATTATCCAGCTTTTTCTTGGCCGCCTCTCTTTCGTTTCTTTATTCTTTTGGTTTCTAATATTCGCTTTAGCCATCGTTTGCCTCTCACTCTTTGTACGTGTCCAAACAATTCCAATTATTTTTTAGTTATTTTACTTATTATGGATTCTTGGTTCAGTTGTTTTCGCATTTCTGTCAGTTTTCGTTCAGTTTTCGTCTTCCTATTGGGGAACCGTCTATTACCACCTTTACTGCTCAATTTCTTGTCATTGGGCTTATATTATGATCGATTTATTCTACTTTCTTTTCTTACCCTGTACTTGATGGTATCATATCTCATATTGTTTCATTCAAGCAGCCTGCGCATATCCAGGTGCTGATATTGCATCCGATCATAATCCGCTAATAGCAGATGTGAGGTTAAAACTAGCAAAAATTAAGAGAACAAATACAAATACCAGCACACCTATAAATACAAGAGAACTGATGAGAGACGAAAATCTGAAGAAGAGTTATGCGAATCAAATTAATGAAAGAATGCGAGTAATAGAACAAAATTATGATATCGAAGAGATGGTCAATGATATTAAGGAACGATTCTGGCAGTAAACAGGGAAGTTAAAACACAGATCAGAAAAATAAAGCATAACGAATGGATGACGGACGAAATTATGGATCTAATGGAAAAGCGAAGGCAACATAAACACAACGTAATCAAGACAAATACAAACAGATACACAAAGAAATCCGTCAGAAAATTAAGAAAGCAAAAGAACGTTGGATGGTGGAAAGGTGCAACGAAATAGAACAATTGCAGGAAAAAGGAGATAGTTTTGGACTGCATAAGAAGATCAAAGAAATATCGAATATACACAAAAGCCACCACAGAACAAGGAATACGCAACGACAGAAACGAATACATAGAGTCAGAAGAAGAGATAGCAATGGCGTGGAAAGAATACGCAGGAAAGCCTTTTTAATGACGAAAGACCAACACAACCAACGCGCAAAACTTCCTTCCGAAAACTTATCAGGGCCATCAATAATGCGAAGTGAAATAGAATATGCAATTAGAAAACCACAAAGATGCATAAAGCAACAGGTCCAGATGAAATTAATATAGAAGCAATAAAACTACTAGACGAGGAGAATATAGAAAATCTTGGTAAGGCTGTTCAATAGAATTTATGATACTGGTTACATTCCGCGAGAATGGCTGCAGTCATTCTTTGTGATGATCCCAAAAACAGCTAATGCCACAAAATGCAATGAACACCGCTTAATCAGTTTAATGAGTCACTTGTTGAAACTCTTCCTTAGGATATTACACTCAAGAATGTATAAGATACTAGAAGAACTTAGGGGTCAACACAATTCGGTTTTAAGGAAGGACTAGGAACAAGAGAGGCAATTTTTATGTTTTGAACACCTTAATACAAAACTGCTTAGATCAACGAAAAGATGTCTACCTCACCTTCATCGACTACGAGAAGGCATTTGACAATGTTAAACATGATATCATGATGGAACTACTACATAGGGCCAACATTGACCAGAAGGAGATCAGAATTATTCAGAATCTATACTGGAACCAAATGGCAAAGGTGAGGATTGATCAAGACCAAATATACGGATGAATTTGAAAATCCGGAAAGGTGTCCGCCAAGGCTGCATACTCTCTCCGATGCTTTTTAATTTATTATGTTGAAAAATATATTTGCGGGAAGCATTAGAAGATACGGAATTAGGCATTAAGGTGAACGGCATACCAATTAGCAACTACGCTATGCGGACGACACAGTGATTATAACTGATAATTTGGAAGATCAGCAGTTATTACTTGATAGGGTGAATAGCATAGGTAAAAAATATGGCCTCAAAATCAAACATTTTGAAAACGAAATATATGGTCATTAGCAGAAACCCTCCAGAAAACCCGATATTATGCATAGGTGACAATCGTATAAATCGCGTGAAAACTTTTAAATACCTTGGCACCACAATCAATGACCAATCGGATCCACAACACGAGATAAAAACCCGAATACAAATGGCAAGACAAGCTTTTGTGAAATTCAGACCGCTCCTATGTAATCAACACCTAAACTTCGAAATACGCTACAGATTGGTTCAAGTGCTACATATGGTCCATCTTGCTTTATGGCATGGAAACGTGGACTTTGAAAAAAAAACATCTATCAACAAACTTGAAGCATTTGAAATGTGGTCATTGAGAAGAATGATGCGCATACCTTGGGTGGATTAGAGTTCGAAACGATGACGTCCTTAATAGAGCGGCGTGGGAAAGAGAACTCTTTGAATTAATTAAAAAACGCAAGATTGGTTACCTTGGGCACATATTGAGAGGAGCAAAATATAAAATACCACAGTTAATCCTACAAGGGAAGATCGAAGGTAGGAGAGGAGCCCGGCCGCAAACAATTGTCCTGGTTAAGGAATATTAAAGAATGGACAGGAATACACAATACAGGTGAGCTGTGTCACGCCGCCAAGAACAGAATTCTAGTAATGAGATAGTCGCCTACGCACTTTGGTGTATGGCATGTTAAGAAGAAGAAGAAGCAGCCTGTAGCTCTGTTTGCTCTATCTATCCACTCCATCACTTGTTCTATTATCTGACCTTCCAGCTCCAAGTTTTATTTTAGTAAATTTGCTGTTATAACCATGAATTTTGTCTTTGGAGAAATCAGCTAGTTGAATTTTCTTGTGGCTATATTGAATTGGTTATAAAGTTAGAAAATTATAGACCCATCAGCCTCTTGACACATATGTACAAACTCTTTATGAAAATCTTAACAAAGAGGCTAACACCTAAACTTGATTTCTATCAGCCCAAAGAACAGGCAGGCTTCAGGGCAGGATATGGCACAAATGACCATTTGCATACCATAAAGATCTTAATAGAAAAGTGCATCGAGTACAACATACCACTGGTTCTTGCATTTGTCGATTACGAGAAGGCTTTTGATTCTGTAGAGTTTGAAACAATACTGGAAGCCCTAAATCAAAGCCGAATAGATTACAGGTACACGACACTAATCAAAAACATCTATCAGAATGCTACATCAAGTATACGACTGCACGAAGACACAGAAAAATTCAGCTTAGGTCGAGGAGTTAGACAAGGAGACAATATTTCACCAAAATTGTTCACGGCAGCTCTAGAGTCAATATTTAAGGGTACTCAATGGCAAGATATGGGCATCAATATAGATGGAGAAAGATTTAATCACCTAAGGTTTGCAGATGATGTTGTATTAATCGCAGATAACTTACAAGATACAGTTTCTATGATGCATTCGCTTGAAAGTCTATCTGAAAGAGCAGGATTCAAGATAAACTTTGAGAAAACTAAAATTATAACAAATCTCGTAATGAGTGGAGATATAACTATTGACAATAATACCATACAACAAACAGACACTTACAAATATCTGGGACACGAAATCAAAATAAGCAGAGACAATCAAACACATGAAATACAGAGGCGATTAGGTCTAACATGGGCAGCATTTGGCAAATTAAGCCATATTCTAAAAAGTTCAATTCCCATGTGTCTCAAGCGAAAGGTTTATAACCAATGTGTTTTACCTGTACAAACTTATGGAGCAGAGACTTTAACACTCACGCAAAAATCTGCGAATAAACTTAGAGTTACACAACGAGCCATGGAACGTGCAATGCTGAACGTGAGCCTTCGAGACCACATAACAAACCAATAAATCAGGCGAAGATCAGGAGTTCAAGACGTCATCGAAAGAACCACGACGCTTAAGTGGAACTGGGCAGGGCACTTAGTCAGAACACAAGATGGACGGTTTACAAGACGTATTATGGAATGGAGGCCCAGAAATTATAAAAGAAGCCGAGGATGACCACCGACTAGATGGACCGATGACATTAAACGTGTAGCGGGAAACTGGATACAAGCGGCCCAGTGTAGAGAACACTGGAAAGAACTGAGGGAGGCCTATGTCCAGCAGTGGACGCGATTGGCTGATTGATGATGATATTGAATTGGTGCAGCATTAGATGGTGTAGATTATCTTCACTTTCAGAGAGTATTACTCCGTCGTTTGAATAGCAGATTATTTTAAGTTGTTTTTTTTTCATTTGGTATCTTTTTTTTACTTCTTACTTTTTTTATTATTTTACACATAATCAAATTGAACACTAGAGAACTCAGAGATCTCCCTATCGTATCTTATTGCCAGCTTCAATAGGGTCAGTTAGAGCTTCTTCTTGCATTCACTTAGATGTTCTCTTAGACCGTAACCTTTTGCTGAATCGATTTAAGCTACACATGACAAAAGTCTGTAAAAGAAAAGTTCAAAAACGACTGAACGTCCAAAAGTTAAAAGATAACATCGCAAAAGAAGAAATCAAAGATGAACTTAAAAATAAAATAAACAACATAGACAAGGTCATGAGTAAACGAGCCCCATAAAAACAAATTGATTAAACTAAATATAGCAATCACCACACAAGACAAGCGAAATACAAAAGTAGAAGAAAAGTTAAACATAGAAAGCCTAGAAGAAGAAGGTACACAAAACTTGTATAGAAACAGACTAACAGAAAAGCTAAATAGCCATAACCTAGAGACTAAAAAGAATATAGAAGAAACCTGGAAAATTATTGAAAAATGTATTCTACAAGCAGCGGAAGAAGCTTTAGATAAAAGAAAAGTTAACAGAAATAAACGGGAATATAAAACTAACATACAAAAAAGTGAAGACACCATAAGCACGAGAAGACTACATGAGAATCAGGAATAGAGTAAACCACGAAATAGATAACATCAAAAAAGAAACTACAAGAAATTTACTGAAGATAATGGAACTCTATGGATACCAGAAAAAGGTGTGGAAGATGATAAGGAGATAAAAAACAGAAAATAATTAATTTGTACGCATAGATAACATTACGGAGGAACAATGGACTGAGTATTTTACGAAATTATATGGAGAAGGAGAAGAGGAGAACAGAGAAATAATCGTTAACGAAACCCACGATAGAGTACTAATATCAGAAGAGGAGCTACAAGAACGAATAAAAAAATTAAATAACTAAAATATGGGGGAACAACACTATGCAAATGGCTTCTGAAATTAATCGTCGATATAATAAATACAGGAGTAGTACCAGCGAAATGGAAGGAAAGTCTCGTGCTACCGATCCTTAAAAGGGAGACTCGAGAAATCCTGAAAATTATAAAGACAGTAGTCTGATGAATAGTACATTAAAATTGTTAACCAAAGTCATAAAATAGAGAAAAAGGCGAACATGGCAGATGAACAGCCAGGCATCAGATAATAAGAACAATTAATGAAATTACCAAGAACACAAGACCAAGACGACCTTAGCTACATAATGAAGAAACTACATGAAGAATATACCAAGGCTCTCCTAGGCGGCAACTGGCAAGTGGCAAGAGGAAGTGATTGCTTCCAAGAAATCATATGGAGAAACAAATATCTAACTACGAAAAGCAAAATAAAAATATACAAGACAACAGTAAGACCAATTCTAACATATGCAGCGGAGACAAGGACTGATACAGAAACAACAAATCAACAATATCGAAATGAAAGTATTAAGATCAATAGCGGGCATATCATTAATAGATAAAGATAATCTCTCTCTTCAATCCTGACCCCCCAGGAGAAGTGTAGTGGTCGACGTGATGTCGTGTATTGTTTGTCTCCAGAGATCTCTGTCTCTGGTCATTTCTTTTAATTCATGCATAGGTCTTTGGCATATTCCTGTAATTTGATCTATCCATCTTGTTGGGGATCTTCCTCGTGATCTTCGGCCTTCTACCTTTCCTTGTATTATGAGTCTTTCCATGTTTTCTGTGTTTGCTCTCATAACATGCCCAAAATATTTTAATTGTTGGAGATGGACTTTACTAGAGAGTCGTTGGTTAACTTTTAGCTCTCTTAAAATTGAATTATTTGTTCTGCGGTCGGTCCAAGAAATTCGTAACATTCGTCTCCAACAGAACATTTCAGTGGCGTCTATCTTTCTTCTCTCCGATTGTCTCAGAGTCCAAGATTCACATCCGTAGGTCAGTATTGGGAATATTAAGCAGTTGATCAACCTCATCTTTATCGCTCTTGAAATTTGACAGTCCTTCCATATTTTGGTCATTTTTGCTGTGGCAACTTTTGCTAGATCAGATCTACGTTTAATCTCTTCTTGTAATGACCCTGTGTTTGTGATTAATGATCCAGATATAAGTATGATCTCACAACCTCGAAACGGTCAATTGTGGTTATGTGTGGATGATTGTTGTGTAGTCTATCCACTATCATGATCTTTGTCTTTGATATGTTTAATTGCAGACCAAATATTTGACTTTCGTTTTCGATCAGTCGTATAAGCTCTATCAGCTCTGCTTGACTATTTGCAAGAAGGGCTGTGTCATCTGCGAAAACGTAGGTTGTTTAGTTTATGACCATTTACTGAGATGCCCTTTTCCCATCCTTCAAGTGCTCTTCGCATAATATACTCCCCATATATGTTGAATAATTGTGGAGATAGTATACATCCTTGTCTGACACCCGTTCTGGATGAAATTCGTTCGAAAGTGTGTCAAGTACTTTAACTGATCCAGTAGTGTGTTCATATAGTTTGGTTATAAGCGTAATTAGATGTTGTGGTACGCCTACTTCTTTTAGTATTCGCCATAAGTGTCTCCACTTGACCCTGTCAAACGCTTTACGGTAATCTATAAAACAGATGTATAGTGGGATGTTGAATTCCCTAGATTTCTCGATTATCTATCTTATATTTAGCAGGTGTTCTCGAGTGCCTCTACCTTTGGTAAATCCAGTCTGCTCTTGTGGAATTTCTCTTTGAAGGAATGTTTTCAGTCTCTCATTGATTATATGTAGCATTATCTTCCTGGCATGGGATATAAGAGAGATAGTTCTATAATTGTCGCATTTATGGAAGCTGCCTCTTTTATGTATGGTCGTTATTGTAGATTTTGTCCAGTCTTCAGGCCATTGTTTGGAATGCCATATTTGGTTACAGAGTAGATGAAGTAACTTTACGCCGGTTTCTTCTGTGGCTTTAAGCATTTCTGCTGTTATCATATCTGGACCTGGTGCTTTGTTATATTTGAGCTTGTTGATAGCCTGTCTTACTTCATTTTCGAGTATATCAGGTTCTTCTTCCACCTCGTCAGAGATTTGGCTAACAAGCTCTTGGCGTTGATCATCGTTATATAGGTCCCTGCAATACGATCTCCATGTCTCTGCTATGTCTTCTCTGTTTGTTCTCAGGGTTCCAGTGTTATCTTCAATGGCCCAAGTTCTGGCTCTGAAGTTGATAAAGATAATAAAATAGACAAACCAACAGAAGTATACGCGAACAATGCAAAATTCAAGAGGTGGATAAAAACAAGGAAAACAAACTGGAACGAACATGTAAACCAAATGGGACCAGATAGGTTAGCGAACATCTGTAAAAACAACAAGCCGTATAGCAGAAGACCCGTTGAAAGGCCGCCAAAAAGGTATAAAAATAATGTACAGTCAACAACGACTGAAACAGAATAAGAGGCAGACAAACAGGAGTAATCCTGGTCGCACGAAGAAGAAGAAGAAGAAATGCTGCGAGGAATCTGCAAAAAACCGATGCACAAATTAAATGAAATAACCACAGACAGATATCTATAGGGATGGACCATATCACGACGACCACTATGCTATCATTGGCGAATAAGATTAGAGAGAGAGAGAGAGAATATATATATATTATATATATATATATTTATATATATATATATATATATATAGAGAGAGAGAGAGAGAGAGAGAGAGACAGAGAGAATATTTAGACTTATTGACCTTTTTGGACTAAAATTACATTGATTTTCACCTATTTCTAAACTGTAAAGTACATGATTTAAAATAATGTACCTGATAATATCATACAAAACATGTATCCATGATTTTTTTAATCTTTCTTATCCCTCTTCTTGCATATAGGAAGTGTAAATACTGTAAATCGTGAAGATAATGCAAGTTTTGTGATAAATAAGTAGAAAAATAGTGAGTTTATAGCTAAATTTCATTTTTTTTTTCTCTTATTCTGGTCACATTAAAACATAATTTAGATTTTTCTATCAACGTTTTAAAATTGGGACACTAATCTGTTTTAGATTCTTAATTACAACATTAGAAAGACGTTAAATAGCTTTATTAACAAAATCTATTAAAACTCGGGTAGTATAAAAGTCGAGGTTTGTTTGGTATCAATCACTGTTCAAGTTTTCTGTGCTTGTACAACATCAATATGAAGGTACTGATTGTGTTATCCGTAGTCATTGCTGCCGCTATGGTAAGTAAAAATGTTTTTATTTATTAATTTAAATGAATTTAATTCATTTTTGCAAATTGTTTATTTGCCTGTTGTTTTTTTTTAAATGCTAACTATTACAAATACCATTTATCTTATTGTCAGTGTTCTTTTTAGTAAAATTCCTTTCAAATATTTCGTTAATAACAATGATCTGATTATGTTCAAGTCATTGAGCAAAAAGACAAAAGAGGAAATGTAAAGGTAGTGGGGGCAAAAATATTGTTAGACAGGAAGTGCTATCTTGAGAGGCCACATTTAAGAGGGTTATTTCTCTGTAGTTTTGTGGGCAAGTTTTTTGTCCTTTTTTAAATATGGGGATTGGGATAATCTTATGCCATTGACAGTTTACTTGCAAGTTTAGAGCCTCCATATTTTAGGAGTTCATTGGGTATATCATCTGTTCCAGGGGATTTTCTGTTATTTAGCTTCTTAATCTTTGCTTTTACCTCTTCGTTAGTGATTGTAGCACTTATATCTGCTTCGTATTTGTTTATATTCAGCGTTTCTTCAGCATGATATAGCTCTTTAAAATGCTGTTGCCATTTTCTATAGGTACTTCCTTGGTCTGCACGAACTCGTTAACTGGTTTTTTCCTATTCCGAAGCATTTTCCATATCTTCTTTTGAGCACCATGTAGATCGAAGTAAATGTCGCTGGTGAATTTAGCCTAATGTTCTCTTTTGATTGATTTTATTCTTGCGTTTATTTCGTTTCTTACTTGGACATATTCTGCGAGAGCTTCTTCCGATTGTATGCTTTTATATCTCAGGTAGCATTTGCGTTTTAATTTAGCGAGTTCTTTTATCTCTTGACAAAACCACGGTGTGGTTCTAGTATCATCTTGCATAAAACAAGGTTGTGATCGGTCCCCAGATTAGCAGATGTTAGGGCTCTGACATCAAGTACTTGTGACGGTGTTATCACTCGAATTGTGATTATAAAATCTATCGATTAGTTTTAATAGTGTATTTATGTTAGTCTTTATGAGGAAAGAATGTGTTGTCGATTCTCATTTCATTTCTAGTCACGCAAAAGTCTATTAGTGCTTCGCCGTTTTTATTAATTATATCTTTATTGTACTTTTGTTTATACCTACGTTTTGGGTTGCGAACATTTGGTTGCGATTTATTTTTATTGCTTTTTATCATCATTAATAGTTATTCCATCCATCGTCAGATGTAGGCCTCCCTTAAGTGAGTCATTCATTTTTCTTCGTTGTTTTTTGCATCCATTCATGACCAGTTATTCGTTTGATGTTTGTTTCTATTTCACTTATTTATTGCTTCGTCTAATGGTCCATTTCTCTTATGTTTACCGCCCAATTCTATTGTAACATGGCCATATTTTGGAATAAATCTATTACTTTTGATCGCCTTCTTATTTTTCATAAAATTTGTGATCCAACTGCTCTTACAACGTACTGGTTTACTAGTTCTTGTTTTGTAACCTCACATTAGTATTTTTTAAGTTTCTGTATCACTATTTGTTGAGTGATGGCCGTAGCTCAGCGGCTCTACAAACTTATTGACTTAACAATCTGGAAGGACCGGTTTGTATTCCTATTACTAACATCAGCTGAGCCGCCTCCGGGCATTCCCGGTTACGTAAATAGTCGTTACGTCATGTTATGCATGCGGCCTTAAAAACCCTAAGCCAGAAGGTTCCACGACCTTTACGTTACAATTTTTTTCTATTATGGTTCATGCCCCTTTTTTATAAATCAGTGCTATAAATACATAATATTTGACTAGTGGAACTGTTGCCTTCAGTTCAGTTGTTCAATTCAGTTGTACTGTACATTATAATCGTACTTATGTCCTAATTCTAATATCTGCAGAGGGATCTCATTTATCATTTAAGTGACATTGTTTTCTAATATGTCAGTGTATTTAAAATAGTTTTAGATTTTGTTCATTTTTACAATTTTTAAACAAACAAAAATGTTGTTAATTAAGACAGTGTATTCATTTATTTCTCTTATTCTTCCAGGCTACTTACGGAGGTGGTGGTTACAATGGCGGTGGTGGTTATAATAGAGGACGTATTCAGGTCTACCAAAATTTCTTCCTTCCACCCCAAGAAAAAGATATCCTCCATAATTACCATCTTCAGTGCCAACAAGAAAGTCAATGTGGTATGGAATACATCAGAAGCCCACACCAATATGAAGACTACGAACCTTTGGGAGAGTATATGTTCTGCATATGTCAGAAATATGGATTCATGTACCCTAATGGACGTTTCAACTATAACATGCTGAGTCGCAAACTTGGATTGGTCTGTGTTGACGAAGATCCTGAGATTTACATCAGAGGTTGTGCTGTTCCTTCTCATAACCCATATTCCACTGCTATCGGCCTCATGAACTGTTTGGACAACTACGGATTCCACTACCTTGACCAATGTGTCTACTAAGTTTTTTATATCTTTTTGTTTTGGATTTTATCTTGTTTTGGATACCATTCATAATAAAAAAATATTGATCACAGTATAAATAAAAGTTGAAAAAAATGCATATGTTTTTTATTTACCATATATTAGAATAAAATATAACACAAAATAGTTTTGGTTTTGGCAAGTAAAAATTACTACATATATACATTTAACAAATGACAAACATAATAAATTAAAACATAAAAACAAAAAAAAATCAGCTTAATCCAGCGTTTCTCAACCTTTAACCATTTGCGACCCAATTTTCCATAATTATTTTCATTGCGCACCATCTTGTACAATAACAACATATCTATTCAATAATAATGTAGATGTTTACTTTGAGTATTTTGACAAAAAACTTACATTAAAATCTTACTGTAATTACCATATTACCAAGAATAAATAAATTCATTGATATGTGGCAACACCGATTCGAAACCGATCGTCTTTCTTCGCCAGAAGTTCCCATATTTTGAACATTCTCGATTGCTTATCTGCCTACATCTCCTCTCCTCACTTCTCAGTTCTGACCATAACCAGTCTTGTCGAGTCAGTTTAGTACTTAAGAATACTTAAATTTCGGGTTTACTTTTACTGAAGTAAATGAAGAAGAAAGTCTTAGTAAATGAAGAATAGGAATATTATTTGCTCAAAAATTTTGGCAGCCGACAGCGTGAAACCTAATAAACTTTTAATAGACATTTGGAAACGCTTTATAGTGAGTACATTAACAAACCCCGAGAATTAGTCGAATTAAAATTAAAATCACATGTAAAGCAAATATCGTTTTTAATAAAAACTTTGACTGTCAATAAAAAAAGCTTAACTTGCGCTTTATAAAGTCTTATATCAAATAGCCAGATGTAAAAAACCTCACACTATTGGTGAAGAGCTTATTTTGTCAGCTGCAATATAAATTGTAGAATCTATATTTGGAGATAATTTTGCCAAAAAATTATATATAAAGTCTATACCTCTATCAAACCATAGTGTTGCCAGTCAAATTGGCGATACAGATGAAGATGTACAGGATCAGTTACTTGGGAAGTTGCGCGGTTTTCGATTCAGCTTGACTAGGTAACAGATAGCAATAAAGATGCTCAATTTATTGCCCACGTTTGATTTTCTGATGGTACATCAGTGGTAGAAGAACTACTTTTCTGCAAACCAATAGAATTAAAAATTACGAGTGGGTTAGGAATCCATTTGAAAATATCCCCTAAGGACTCTGTACTTTCGAAGAAACCTTCGTAGACTTCACGGAAAATGAGAAAATCAACAACAGTTTAATAATAAATCCTTCTTTGAATTATGCTCAGGGGTAAATGAAGAATTTTCTGCGCTGAAAGCCAGGGCGTTCTGTATACTATTACCGTTTTCAACATCTTATCTTTCTTCTTCTTAGGGTGCCTGTCCGTTCCGAACTTTGGCGATCATTCTGGCTATAATAATTTTGTTGGTTGCTATACGAAATAGCTGTGTTGAGGTCTTTCTTTACCATGCTCTCAGGTTAGCAAGCCAGGATATTCTTCTTTGTCCTGGAGCCCTTTTTCCTTCAAGTTTACCTTGTAAAATGCATTGAAGTAGCTCGTATCTGCCTTGATTTCTCATAATATGTCCCAAGTACTCCAGCTTATGGCTCTTTACAATGTTCACTATGTTTATGTACGAAACAGGATTTTCCAAGATGGCTACTTTGAAGACCAAATATAGATCGTAGCTAAATATAGAAAATAACTATGATAATCTATTTCTAATATTACACCCTGTTTCGATAAACTTTGCTCTGCAAAACAGGCCCAAGGAAGTCACTAGTCACTAATATACATTAAAACTTATCGATAATTTAGTATTCAGTGCTCTTTATAATTGTACCACTTTATCAGTGTTCATGTGTATTTTATCTTGAAAGAATGTTGTTTTGCTTTGATTTTAGTAAATTAGTCAATGTCGTTGGTGTTTTTTTTTATATCCTTACGCCCCCACTAGTTAAAGCGCGACACTCAGAGGGGCACGTCCCACAGGTTGGGAATCATTGGTTTAATCGATAATTTGTGTAGAATTTTTATTTCATCTGGTAAAAAGTTATTTTACAGTAAAAATTCCATCTGGTAAAAGTTAAGTTACAAGGCAAAAAATGGAGATGGGCAGAACATGCTGCAAGAATGAAAGACGACAGTTGGACAAAAAAATTGCTTGAGTGGAGACCACGGGCTGACAAGCGAAGCCGAGGAAGACCCTTAACGCGATGGACCGACAACTTCAAAATTGGATATCAGAGGCGCAGAACAGAAGCAGATGGAAAAATCTACAGAAGGCCTATGTTCAACAATGGACAACTCAGGGCTCATTGATGATGATGATGAAAAAGTTATACAAACCAACATCAGTCAAATTTTTTATTTCTTTGTCAACCTAAAATGTTGTGCTCTAATAGCATTTCTAGATCTTGTATCGTGATCATGGAAGTTGAAATTTATTTATTTAATTATCATCATCATCACGTAGCGCTACAACCCTGGGTGGGTCTTGGCTGACTGTACAACTTTTTTCCAATTTTTTCGGTCTTCCATTAACCTAGGGTCAAATGGATTGTTCATTTTCCGGAGATCTGCTTGGATGTTATGTGTTATATGATGTGTTATGTGATATATGATGTGTTATGTGATGGATGTCTTTCCATCGCATTCAGTTTCTGTTTCCAGTTCTATAAGTCTAGATCTAAATCTAAAAATAAAGGTTTACAGTGTTCCTTATACTCTTCTTTTGTAGGTATCCTCACTACTCTTTTTTGTAGATTAAAAATTAGGTATGTGTGACAAGAGCCAATTGCTATAGAGTAGTGCAAAGCAGCACATTCTAAGGGTATAATTAGGAATCATATAAAGAAAATATTACTTTAGTCTAAATTATCATCTATAGTCGGTTCACAATTTGACGATAGCTCACTACAAGTTTAACACTACTTAGAGAACTGAAATACAGAGAGGATAGGTAATACGATGTAATAGTAAAAACCAACCTTAAACTGGTTTAAGATGTTTTCGACTAACCCACCTTGTATCTGAAAGAACACAATACAGCAATCAATCTTACAATCTGATTACGAAGGTATTTCGGTTACAGATGACCGACCAGTGCCGTAGAGTATATGATTGAAACATTTATTTGAACTAAATAAATATATTTTTAAAATTGTACTTATGTAAATTGTATTTTTGTTTTAATAAAACTTCTTTATTTTATTTAAAAATAAAAAGTTTCTTGCCATTTTTAAAAGATACATTTATTTAATAAGGGGAAAGGCGCCAAATGTCCCCTGGCAAAATTTTCAAAGTGTTTTAAATGTGTCCATTATTTTCGAATCCGGAGAAAACTAATAAATATTTTTGAAAAATTTAAACGCAGACTGAAAGATTACATTATTACTAAGGGTAGAAAGTCCCTGAAAACTTCTACAATGTTTATTTTAATAAGTTGTGTAAAAGTTGTGAAAATAAAAGAGAAAATATAGTATAATTTTTAATTGAAAATATTGCATGCAAAATAAACTTTTTATGTATTCTAATAAGTATTTCATTCTGCGTTTAAATTTTTCAAAAATGCGTTTTAGTTTTCTCAGGATTAAAAAAAATGGATACATTTAAAACACGTTGAAAATTTTGACAGGTGACATTTTGCGCCTTTCCTCTTTAATACCTTACGATTACAACTACTATTACTTACCCTATATAATTACGATTAGAAAACTATGCAAATTCAAAATAAATAGGGTCAACTTCAGAATTCCTACTGATCGTCTTCCTATTGGGATTATTGGAAAACCGTCTCTTGCGTCTTTACTACTCTATTTATTGTCATTCGGCTTATATGATCGTTTCATTCTACTCTTCTATTTCTTACCCAGTTTTTGATGTTCTTCACCTTGCGTCTACGTCGTATATCTGTAGTTCTAGCTCTATCCCATAGTTTCTTACGATCAATTTTTCTAAGTGTTTTTATCTCTGCTGTTTCTAACATTTTTTTGTCCTCTCTGTATCAGGTCTTGTTTATGCCGCGTTTCTCATTATTAGTCTGATGACTGTTTTGTAAATTCTGCCTCAATCTTTTCTTACCCAATATTTTTATTTCTCCACATTGCTACATTTAGGTATCCTGTGGCTCTGTTTGCTCTATTCACTTGATCTTCCACTTGTTCTATTACCCATCACTTGTTCTATTACCTGACCTTCCAGCTTCAATTTACATATTAGTAAATTTTCTGTTGTAACTATGCATTTTGTCTTTTTGTGAAAATTCTTCTTCTTAACTTTCCCTATCAAGTACCCTTGACGTTGGCGATTAACATGGCGAAACTGTCTCTGTCTCGAGCTTTTCTAAAGAGTTGCTCAGCTTTCCTTATTCCTGGGAAAATTAACATGGTTAAATTTTCTGGCGGTTATAGTAAATTGGTGCAGCAGGTGTTGTAAATCATCTTCACTTTGAGAGAGTAGTATTGCATCATCTGCATAGCAGATTATTTTAAGTTGTTTTTCTCCCATTTGGTATCCTTTTTTAGTTGTTACTTTTTTATTATTTCATCCATAATCAGGTTGAACAATAGAGGACTCATTGAATCTCCCTGTCTTACCCCATTGCCAGCTTTAATAGAGTCGGTTAGTTCTTCTTCTACTTTTATTGTGTTATTTTGGTAGATATTTTTGATCGTTTTGATTATTTCTAGAGGTATTTCTCTTGCGTAATGTACGTGGATAACGTCTTTTAATTTGACCTGGTCAAATGCTTTTGTAAGGTCCACGAAACATAGATATGCCGGTTTGTTGTATTCTAATGATTTCTCTTGCACTTACCTAATTATAAATATAGCGTCGGTACATGATCTTCCCGACCTAAAAGCTTGTTGTTCTTCTGCTAATGTTTATTATTTCAATTATTTCATTCAATTTATTTGTTATCACTGTGGTTGTTAATTTTAGTGTTGTGTTTAATAAATTAATTCCTCTGTAATTTGCCGGGTCTGATTTGTTTCCTTTTTAAAGAGAGTTATTAGGATATTTGATCTCCATTCTTGGGGAATTCTGTTTTGGAATGTTAGTGTGTAGTGAAATAACATCTAAAGATATTTTTTCCATAGCTAATGTTAAAGTATTGCTATAACAACTGTTTTGAGTAGATAAAGTATTACTTTAACCGCAAGGGTAGATAAAGTGACACTTTAACAGCAAGAGTAGATAAAATGTTTTAATTTTTTTTATTCAAAAAAATTTACACACTCGAACATATTAAGAATTAAAAACAACTGAAATGATACAATTAACATTATTAGAAATATCTATTTTTGGAGCATTACAACTTGTACTCGTTTTCTTAAACACTCGAGGTACTGGATTGATTTTCTGTAACATTTGTTGATATTTGATGACAGAGTAATTCATTTCCCTATCAATGGAGCAACACAATTGCGATTTTTGTGCTAAAAATTACAAGTTTCTTTGAAATTCTATGTTTTATCTGAACTTGAAGTTTTGCTATAGAAAAAAATGTTGTATTGCACACGACGATAAAATCACATTATCTTCTCGAGCATAATTAGCGTGTCGACTCAAGGACACTAAACACAGATAGTATTGATTTTGTCCTATGCTTTAATGTAAGAAATGCGTTGTGTTGAGTGTGACGTAGGCGTGGGGATTCGTGGTTGACATTTCTTATTGTTTTATATAGAATAGTTGTCCCTGCTGCCAATTTTTTTGTTGTATTAGCAATTTAAAGGCCTTATAAGACTATTCAATTATTGTTTCTATATCAATTTACTCCTATAAACAAAATGGGTGGTAATAGATATATGGGTGCCATATATGGTTGTGACAATAATTTTAAGAGTGTGAACACCTAGGATATGCCTGTTATTTTTCAGTTTTCCAAAAGGAAAGGATTTAGTGTCAAAAACTATAAGAGCTGAATGGGTTTACCGATGCAGAAGAGCTGATAATTTTAATCCTGATTCTAGTAGAATATGCTCTGTTCATTTTACAAACAATGACTATGAAAGAGATCTTCAAAATGAATTATTAGGTAAAATAAAAAAGCAAAAAATGCCTATAGAAATTTTTTAACATAACTTATTTTAGGTTTACCTACTAAACGCCTTTTAAAGAAAATTGCAGTTCCAACACTTTGTTTATATAAACATACCTTTGACACACCTTCTGTCTCTACTCGTAAAGGTAGATTAGATGTTAGAAACAGAAAGAAACTTGTAGCAGAAATTACAAAGTTTGATTAAAATATTTTGAATATTGGATCCAATCAATATGAACATACTATTACTGAATCTAAAATCATTTTTGAACAAGCTGGTGAAAATATAGATTTAAAGCCTGAAGTAGATTTTAAAGCAAAATACAACGAATTATTAAACAAGTATGAAAAATTAAGAGCTGATCATTCCAATTGGAAGAAAAAGAGTCAAATAAAAATAAAAACTTTAATAACAAGTCAGTTGAGGTATGCTAAAGCAAAAAATATGAATGTTTAGAAAAAATCTGGAATTTTTGCTGAAATTTTGTTAAATAAAGGGTTAACCACAAACCAAATTGCACAATCAGTCTGACACCTCATATTGCGTTATCAGTGATTTGCAGAAAACTACAGAAGATGCCTTAGAATACATCGCTGGGTATTTAGCAAAAAAATTTAAAGATAGTTTATCTGATTTAGGTAATTTCACATACAAAGTTATTGAACATAGTTATAGTTTACCATTATGGGTGCAGCAACTCTCTTATCAAGCCTACTGATGAGTAGGCTTGATAAGACCTGGGAGGTCTTATCAAGCCTACAGATGAGTGGTTCATAAAAATAAAATTATGGAATAAATATTATGAAAAGTATACCTATAGGAAAAATAATAGAGTTGGAAATATTTCAAAAAAGGTTTTAAAAAAAGAAAAGTGTTGCCATATGCGCTTACTAAAAAATTCTGTAAACTTAGCACAATTAACTAGAATCAATTTTAGACATTTAAAATTCAAGGAAGCTGAAAATTTGAAGCAAAAAAACTTATTCGTGTTGGATTCAACTAGGTCAAAAATAAGTTGTTGTTGTTTGTTTGTGTTTAAATGACTGCGGACACTAAATCCATTCGCCAATCTTACAATTTGAGGTGTAGTGTGTGTGTGTGTGTGTGTGTGTGTGTGTGTGTGTGTGTGTGTGTGTGTGTGTTGTGTGTGTGTGTGTAGAGTAATTGTCTTGTTACTTAGCAAAGTCGACGTCATTGTCTTTACTAAGAGACGCTAATTGTATCCGAACGTCTGCGGTCCCTCCGGTGTGTACCGATCACACAAGGATAGAAATTATTTTCATTTATTAATTTTTTTTTTTTTTAATAAACGAAAATTTCCACCCAGGTGGGATTCGAACTCACGACCTTTAGGTTTAAAGGCAGGCGCTCTTACCACTGAGCCACAGAGGGGGTTATCAAAAATAAGAAAATTAAATAAAATTGTTCGGTAGGGAATGTTTCTAAAGTTTCCTAGTATTGTTATATGTATGTTTATGAAATAAATTTCAGTATTGAATAGTTTTATTTATCATCAAATGTTTTGGATATTAATTTGTGCTCTGACTACGTAAGTAAAACACGGATTTATACATTTTATTTACCAGAAATATTTACTTTAAGAGAAAACTGACATTTATTAATTTAATTATAACACTAGCAAATGCATTCATTTCGAAAATAAATTTTATTTGACATGTAAAACAGATCATTAGGAATTTATATGTCTGAATGTCTTAGGTAGGTACTGTTAAAAATCTAATTATCGCCATTTATTTACAAAAACAAAACGTAAATTTTTCGTTTTAAACTTTTTAATCTCAAATTAAGCTCATCTTCCCTAAAAGTTAATAGTAACAATAAGGTCGATAATTGCTTGTCATCCCCACACCTACGTCACAGAAGCGTGTTGCAGTGATAGAGAAATTTGGGAGATGGAACTATCCTACATAGTCAACCGCTCTTGGTCTCGACTGACGTCTCGACGCTAAAAAACATTCTCGAAGATAAACTACAATTTTATCGTCTTGTACAATAAATAACTAATATAGATATTTGGTACGTGAATGTTTTTAATTTTAGAAATAATATTATTAAAATCTTTAATATAATAAGGATTTTTATTTGTGATATTAGAAATAATGTTTTTTAAGAATTTTGAAATATTCTCGAAGGTTGATTAATTGCAGTAAACGACAGAACGTAGAGGTACATTATCTTTATGTGTTTTAGGTAAACCATCATTTGGTGGAAAATTGTGTAGCTTAAGTGACTTTGTTGTATTTGATTATCCCATTTTTGTTCCATCCATATATTTGTATAGAATACAGTATCTTCTATTTTTCAAAAAAATATTTAGCCGACTAAAAGAAAAAGTTAATACTACCATATATTTACAGAACACACTGTACAAGAGAAAATATATTATAAGCACTCTCTAAACTGCAATTAAAAAGGTCCATCAGGTAAAAATGAATTACAGCTGTTGGAATAAAATTAAAATATACTTACTGCAATATTAGAAGTCATTAATAGGGATAACTGACATTAAAACATTATTACTCAGATAACAATGTAAAACGGGCATTTTAATAGAAAGAATTCCCGCTAATATTGAAAAGAAACTTGTTTAAAAGGAGACATTTGTTTTAATAGACATCATTGTTTAGGTGACTTTTGGTGGTGCTACATACTGAATATATCAATTTTTCAATATGAAAGCTGTCGTTATTTTCTCATTGTTTATTGCTGCCACTATGGTAAGTATAAAAATTGTTAAATTTAAATTTTTTGTATAATCGAAGTTTACTCATTTGATATAATATATAAAATTCCTTTGTTTTGTTCTTTATTTCATCGTATCGGTTAAAATATTTGCTAACGTTTCTTCTTTTAGTTATTCTGTTGTTTACTTATCTTCTCTTCTTTTTCTTCTTCTCCTTTTTATGTAAACATGACTCTGTCTGTTTTTAAATATGCCTCCAGTAAGTTGTCGTTTCATCGTTTTCGTGGTCTTCCTACTGCTCGTCTTACTATTGAGGAGCCATCTCTTGTCGTCTTTACTATTGATAGTTTCATTCTACATTTCTATTTCTTACCCAGTAAGTATTTTAATCTCTGCTGATTCTATTATCCTTTTTGTCCTCTATGTATCAGGTCGTGGTTCTACCGTGTATGTCATTATTGGTGTGATGACTGTTTTGTAAATTCCGCCTTTCATGTCTTTTGCGATACTTTTATTTCCCCATATTATTTTATTCATGCTGCTTGTGGCTCGGTTTCCTCTATTCACTTAATCTTCCACTTCTGTTTCGAGCTTTCCGTAACTAGATAATATGATACCTAGATATATAAACTCCCATGACTTGTGCTATTATCTGACCTTCCAGCTCCAATTTACATCTTAGTAAATTTGTAAATCATCTTCACTTTGAGTGAGTAGTATTGTGTCGTCTGAATAGCAGATTATTTTAAGTTATTTTCCCTTTATTTTGGTAGATATTTACGATCGTTTTAAATTATTCCTAAAGGTATCTCTCTTGTATACAATAAGTGGATACCGTTCCTTAATTTGAGTCCCTTTAATTTGACCCTGTAAAAGTGCCTTCTTAAGGTCCACGAAACAATATATGCCGGTTTGTTGCATTCTTATGATTTTTCTTGCATTAGGCTCATTATAAATATAGCTTCGGTGAATATTACTGATATGTTATTATTGATATATAAAAATTATAATTTTATTCAGTTAATTTATTATCACTTTGGTTGGTAATTTTAGTGTTACTAAAGGGTTGGTAATTAATAAATTAATTCCACTACAATTATTTGGCTCCGATTTGTCCCCGTTTTGATGAGAGGTGTTAATAGGATGCTTGATCTCCATTCTTAGGGGATTCTCTTTTGTTATTGATTATTTTTTGAAATAGTTTTAGTAGTTGTTTGGTCAGATCTGGTCCTCCGTACTTTAGGAGTTCGTTTGGTATTCTGTCCTCTCATGGGGATTTTCTGTTTGGATTATGTTCAGAAATGTTTGGAAGTTTATACATATTTAGTAAGTTATTGAAGAACTTACTTATAGAAATGTAGTCTCGATGTTTAATTTAATGCATGTATGTGTATATATACCATTGGTTTAGAATCCCTTTCGACGTTATTTGATGCCTAATTTCCATTTATGTCGGTTGTTCTATTATCCTTCTCAAAGTTCTTTGAAACGCATTAATTTTCTTACTCCTTTTATCCATCTTTTCTTCTTCTTGCTTCATTTTATGTTCCTATAAGTTTCCATGCAAGTACTTGATTCGGGAGTCCATTGTTTTCCATTCTTCGTACACACCAATGAGCTGCTTTTATTGTATGCCAGAGTTCGTCTTATTACATCCATTTTCGTGGCTTCTGTCTTTCTTCGGTTTCTCTCTGTTCATTGTCACGTTTAATTTCGTCTAATAGCACACTTTTTACTGCTCTACTTGTAATGCAACTTGCTGCTCTAAACAAATCAATCAATCTGTTTTGATACCAATCACGTAAATTCTTCAATCATGAGTTCTGCCTTCGGCCAACATATCTTCTTCCTTAAATCTTCCTCTGTATTAGAAGTCTTAAAATTTCATATTTTGGTCCCCTTATCACGTGGCCTAGGTATTCCAGTTTTCTGGTTTGTATAATGGTAATTAGTTCTGTTTCTGTACCAACCCTCTCCAGTACTTCTTTATTTATAATTCTATTAGTTTGTGATATTTTCAATACTCTGCGGTATAGCCAGAGTTCGAAGGCCTCGATTCTTTTTAAATTGCATTTTTTTTCCGTAATCGTACACCGTGTTGAATCAATCTGCCAATACTTCCAAGTTATGATCTTCCACTAGTTTTAACAGTTCTACTGATATTTCATCTCATCCAGCTGCCTTAGAGTTTTTGATTTCATCTATCGGGATCTTCTGTCTCTATAAAGGATTTAATTCTTGTATTTTCTGCATTCACTATGAATCTTCGGTCTTATCAGCTTTGGGAGCATAAACTTGGATCATATTAATATTACAGTTCAGTGCTTGAATTTTTAGCATTATTATTTCTTCTGAGATTTGACTCACACCTAGTACTGATTTTCTAATAGCGTTGCTTATGATGAAAGCTACTCCGTATCCATGATCAGTTTTGTCCCCTCCAGTGTAATAAATATTGTGATTATTTATTGATATCTCTTCATTTCCTGACCAGTATACATCGCTAACCCCAAGTATGTCTATATTTAGCCTTTCTTTCTCTTTAATAACATTATCTAGTTTTCCAGGCTGATACATATTTCTTACATTCGAGGTAGCTGTTTTTATCTGAGAGGGTTAAGTATTTTTTTTTGTTTTTGTGCAAGGGTTTGTTGACGACCGAGGAGGCCTTGCGTTCTGATGGTTGTCCCCCCCTGCCGGATTTTGGTCTTCGATGACCATAATAAATAATGTTTCTTGCGCAAATAGTGCTAGCCATTATAATTTATACTAGAGATGTCATCAGGGACCTTTGGTTTCTCGTTGCCTTCTGCATTCTGATGCCGTTGACCACTTTATTGATTTTTCCACCTTCGGGACCAATTTATCAGTCTGAGGACAACAGAGTGTCCTTCCATTTACTAACTCATCTGCCCTAAGCCGTTGGCCTGTTAATGGTGGATTGCTTATCCAGAGAATTACGTTAAGGTATTCTGTAACTTTTCTGATTAAATATTATTCTGATGTCAATTAATTTCTTGGTCTTGATATTTGTATTCATCACCAGTCCCTATCGCCTTGTTGTATTCTTGTGCAAATTTGCCGTGTATGTTCCAATGCTCGAGTATGTACAAGTTGGTGTTTTCGGTATTAGGTATTAATTCTTATTTCTGAAATGTATGTATGAATTGCATGTATATCTTATGCAAAAACAACGGACAGTTAAGGGCATTTTAAAACCATCTAAAGCAGTTAAATAGATTATTTACAGGACAACATTATACTCTTTCATATATATGATACTATATATAATATGGTGCTAATTAATTTGTTTTTTATTGCAGGCCAACTATGGAGGTCATTCATACGGAGAAAATCCTCATGAAGGAAGATATCATGGAAGACGTCACTACTTCAATAATTTCGTCCTTGCAAGGCATGAAAAGTCTTTTCTTCATCGTATTCACTTAGAATGTCAAGAGGAGAGTTCATGTGAATTGGAATATATACAAGATCCATTCCAGAACGAGGATTATGAACCTTTGGGAGATTATATGTTGTGCCTGGCCAAGAAATACGGATTCATGGGTAGACACGGACAATTGAAGTTCGAGAACTTGAGATATAAGCTTGGAATGATCTGCGGTGAAGAAGATCCTGAGTTTTACATCAACACTTGCGCCGTCCCTGCTGACTATCCCGTCAGCACGGCCTTTGGTCTATGGAAATGTCTAGATAATCATGGTTTTCATTTTCTGAAGGAATGCTTATAGTTCTTCTTGTGATTAGTTTTTTTTTGAATTGTAGTTAATTATATAATACAAAATAAATGTATTTACGTAAAATAAATATTGTTTATCATTTTTTATTTGAATCGATAAGATCGAGTATAATCACTTATCAAAACACCGACAGGAAACTAACAAATAATAAATTAAAGATAGAGACTATAAGGTAATCAATAAGTCAGCTAATGGTCTAATTCACGAAATGATTACAGCTGAAGGTCTAACTCAAATTAAAAAAATTAAACCAATAATTAAAGAAATTAATTAAAATAAGATTATTACTTATACAAATGTGCAACCAATATAATGATTTGAATACAACCATTTGTTATTTGTGGATTACAATGAGGCATTCGATTCCATAGAATTTTGGACTGCATTGGGAGTAATGAATAACGCAGGGATTGATTCCAGATATAGAATACTACTAAAATTTATATACAACAATGTAACTATGCAAATAAACGTAGTAGAACGTCTAACAACAAGCAAAAAAAGATCGGAAAGGAAGAAAGATCGAAAAGTTAGACAAGAAGACAGAATTGTTGTTATTTAGATATACTCCAGAAGTTACATTGAAAACAACGCCAAAATAAAATCGCTGTCAGATTTTTGAATCATCTAAAATTTGCCGACGAGTTCGTACTGATAAGCAATGTTCTATTGTTATATAGCTTTGAAAAAAAAAAATAATACTATTTGGTCAAATTAAGGCTTAATCTGTAAAGGTATTCAATAAGATTGATTTCTTAATGGAAAAATATTAGCCAATGGTTTTCTGGTTACGCAAGAGTAATTTGTAGGTTGTGGAAATTGTTGATCTGCTAATTAGGTTGAATTGACGTAGATGAAGATGTGATAACGTGGTTATTATTTATTTGTTGCCAACTTAATGATTTATTAGGGCCAGAAAGCACTGGCCTATTTTTAGAATTATCAATATTTGTTCAAATAAAATCGCCATACCAATACCAATGTTTATCGTTGAGATACAACACATTTACAGACGTTTTTCATTTCACTTTTTTAACTTTTGCAAAAAAAGAAAACGAATAATGAGAATTTAATATTCTCGAAACAAAATAGTTTAAAAGGAGAAATTTATTTCAAAGGTCTTCAGCTGTCGTTTAGTAGGAGCAGATATTATATCAGTAATTTAATATGAAAATATTTATAGTTTTGTCTTTATTTGTTGTTGCTGCTCTGGTAAGTATAAAAAATCTAAAATTTCTAAAAATGTCTTTTTAATTCTAATTGTTTAAACTTATCCACTTATAAATGTAGACTTCTCGTTTTTATTCTCATCCAGTTTTCATAGCGTCTAAAGACTTCCGGTTCTTAGTTTCTATTCTCGTCTGTCATTTCCATCTCCAATTTGAAGATTCTCCTTCGACATGGGCTTTTGAATGCTTCCTAATGATCTCTGTTTTGAGTTTCCTTTTTTCCTTTTTTTAACTAGTACCAAATAAGTCATAATAGTTTCTAAGACTCTTATATTTTATCGTACTTGATCATTGGGTCTATATCCCAGTTTTTATTTTTTGGCAGATCTTCACCAGAAGTCAATTTCTAAGAATAAAAAGCCGCATTCTAGGATTTTTGTTTAGCTGCCATGTTTCGCCTCTATAAAGTACCGCAATTGTAAAAAAGTGGAAGAAGGGGTGGGTTCTTTTTTATGATATATCATTGGACCGTAGTGTTGAATTTAGTCATTCTCTATCCTTTTCCCTCTTACTATCCTTTCGTCTATTGTTTTTTCAGTCCGGTCACTATAGTTAATTGTTGCATCTAAATATGTGTACGACTTTCAAGCATTAATTAGATTGTTATCATTTATCAAGTCTCCTGTTTGGTTTCCAATGAACAAATATTGTGTTTTTAATTCACATATAGACCCCACTCTTCATATTTTGTATATAATCTTTTAGCCTTAAATTCTAGATCGTCTTTGTCCTGGGCTATAATCACTTGATTATTAGTGGAATCAAGCTTGTAAAAAGTATTTTACGTATTCAATTGCACTCTTGTTCTAGAGCAGGATCCTTTTTACCTTCTAAGGACTTCATTTACATACATTTTAAACCATCGAGCAAAAAGACAAAAGAGGGAATGTAAAGGTAGTTGGGGCAAACATATTGTTAGACAGGAAGTGCGATCTTTAGAGGCCACATTAAACAAGGAAAGAGAGTCTCTCTCCTTGTTTGACATCAAATTTAGTTGGGTTATGTTATTGTTTGTCCCAAATGTCACATGAAATCTTATTTATATTCAAGTTTTTTAACAATTGTGTCGTATTTTAGACTCTTATCATTAATAATTAATTAAAACTTTTTCGTCTAAGACACATTCTAAAAAATATTATATAGCTACTGTTGATAAGTGTCGGAAAATTTAAATTTGGCGCATTCGCATTTCCGGATATGTCCGCCATCAGAGGCCACTTTTTTGGTCTCCTTTTCATAAGCATTAGATTCCCTCTTTTGTCTTATTGCTCGATGTTTTAAACAGAGCCGGAGAAAGCCAATATGCCTGCCGCAATCCATTATAATAGTAACTGGTAAATCTTCCGATAGGATATTTCTTGCTTTAATTTTTGACATCACTTGTTTGTACAGTTGTTTTAATGCTGCAATAATAGATACTATTATTTATTGAAGAATTTTCGAGGGCTTAATTTTTGTCAGTCAGTTGAGTTATAGTATAACTCATCATATATCATGTATATGTATCTTCTTTGATTATATTTTTGAAGATTTTTCATTATTTTTTAAGATTTATAAGAAGCTTATTTTTTTTAATAGATTACTTCGTATATTTTTACTTTTTTGGGCTCTTCTCAATATTCTCTTTTTTTTTGTAGTAACAGGTTTTGCCATATTAGATAAGGTAATTTGGAAGATAATTCACTAATATCAATATCATCATAATTATCATCATAGCGTTGTAATCCCATGGGATTATGGTTTAGTCCTGGGCGAGTAATAATCCCATTTTTTAAAATAGATTATTCCCCATTGTTCACTATACTTTGCTATATTTTATTAAAAATCCTTTATAAAAGATATATAATTAAAAAAACTTCTTGGGGCTACTTCACTTTGGTAATAATAGACTGACGATGGACTTTTTAGCCGGAAACGCTGTGTAATGTAGCCCGAAAGGTTCTTTTTAATAATATACATTTTATAAAGGATTTTTAAATAATACTTTTGTGATTCATGGTACACAGCCAACTACAGGAATTTTATTTTCCCTGTAGAATTTGCTGTATGTTTTCGCCACTGTTGTGATCTGCTTCCATTCTTTTCGGTCCATGCATTGAGCTTTTCAATGTATAACCTTCAAGGCTCTTACGTCATTTTTCACGTCATCTATCCAGTTTCTTCTCGGTCTTCCTCTTCTTCTAGGCTATAGTGGATTTTAATTCTAGGCCGAGTTGTTTGATATATCTGGCTATGTTTTTCCCTTTAGATCATTTTCTATTTCCATGTTCGTTTTTTTCTTCTGGTAATTTTTTGTTATAATTCTCTATTATTACGTTGTTGCTTAGTATTTCTCTAATTTTTTTATTCAAATTTTAGTCAGCTGCCCTCCTCTTTTTATCCCATTTATCGTTGTCGTTTTCATAACAACAACTGGTCTAATGAAGTTTCTGGACGAATTTATTTTTGTATTTTTGCTATTTTTTTGTTTCTTAGTAAATTTCTGTTCAATATACCATACTTGAAAATTCTTTTATATACATTTTCCATCCCAGTCTTTCTAATTGTCGCTCTTAAGTATTTGAAGATGGGTACAGTTTTAAACTTGTAGTTTGGTGTGATCAGGTGCCTTTGAAATAATTAAGTTTTTTTGTTAACTTTTATTAAGTAGCAATATTAATATCCAGTAGAATTGTAAAGATTTGACATTAAAAAATCTATTTCTGTTCAATCGATTTTTAATACAATCTTTTATTGTCCGAAATCATTCAGATTTTAACTTTAGCTAAGACTTTGATAAATTAGACTGTGAAGATAATATGTATTCGCATTACAATTGCTAAACAAGATCTAAATTTTATGTTCATTACCAAATCAACACAAAGTGAAGAGACGTTTGATATACAAATAAAATTAAATGTAAAACAATGTTTTTACTCACCAAAAATAACAAGAAAATCATTGAATTAAAAAAAATATTTAAAATGTCCTCCGTCGACGTCAATACACACATTGCAAGCCAGCTTTCCTTATTCTTCTTCTCTTCTAACACTAAAACCCAGGGTGGGTCTTCACTGACTTAACAATCTGTCTTTACTTACAACGATCCATCATTAGTTCATCTGCTTTTTCAATGTTTCTTTTTATTCGGATTTTTCCCATTATGAGGTCGCTGATTTCGTCCTCCAAAGCACTCTATTTTCTCAATCACCTTCTCTAAGATCTCTATCTATCATAGCATTTCCTATGTATGCCTTCCGTCTTGTGGCAGGTCTTCCTTTTCGTCTTCTTTCAGTCCAATATTGTGCTCTGGCTGTTTGTTCTGGCATTCTTTGTACATGTATGTACCACTACAGGGCTCTATTTACCAAATTTTTTGTAATCAAGAATTCTACTTCTATTCTGCTTCATATTTCCTCTGTTCTTATTCTATTTGCTTTGGTAATTTGTAGACATCTTCTCATAAAGTCCAGTTCAACTCTTATATAGGGTAATATTCATCACTTTGCTCTAAAAGATTCCTTTTTTGTTTTCTTTGGTTAGAGTGGTAGCCTAAATCACTCCATAGAGTGCTTCCGTCGCTTGTTTTCCCGTGCTCTTTTTAATTCGATATCGTTCATACAAGTGCCATCTTGGTTTATCATTGGTGTCTTTTGTTGATTTATTAAGCTGGCTTTGCGAGCTGTACAAGGTTTTATAGAAGTCTTCGAGAACCTGTTTTATTTTATATTTGCCCTTCTCTTTCTTATTACTACTGTATTGATTTTTGATGACTTTTTAAATACTCATGTTGGTATTAAACATTTTAAGCCCCTGTTGTTTTCAATGACTTGCTCTATTAATTTTTCGTTTCATTTTTTATGTCGCGTTTTAGCTCTTTTTTTATTATTTTATAAGTTCTACGTATGCTTGAATATGGCGTATGTTTTCGTTCCTCTAGTAGTGGTCTTCTTTCCTTCATTAATTGTTTAGTTTCGTTGCTTATTTTGCCTTCTATAGTTCTTGTTTTCCTTGCAACTTGTAGTCCGGCTTCAAGAAGGTTTTTATTTATGTTTTTGTTAATGTCATCAATTTGGTCTTAATTATGTGAAAGATCTGATTCGAACTTGCATACTAAGACCTTTCGGAATTCCTCTTCATGTGTTCTTACTTTAAAGGCATCTATCCGCGTTGTTTGTTAAGGATCCTCTCCTCTGTCCTTTTATGTTATTATTTATTTTCGCTCTCGCTATACGATGGTCACTACTAGTTGTTATTTTGTTTATTGTTGTCACGTCTTTAAATCATTTGTTGTTGTTGGAGAAAATAGTCTACTTCAATTTTGGTAATTCCATTAAGTGCGATCCATGTCCAGTTTCTGTTGGGTTTCTTTTTGTAAAAGGTATTCACAACATACATGTTTTTTTTTCCCAGAAATTCCAGAATTCCAGAATTCCAGAAGTTTTTCTCCTGTTACATTTCTTGTGCCAAATTTGAAATTTCCAATCTTGTTTTCGAAGTTTTCAATCATTCTTCCAATTTTGGCATTCAAATCTCCCATTATTATTATTGTAGATTCTTTGTTGTTGTCTATAGTTTTTTTAAGATCTTCGTAAAAAGTATTTATTTCATTATCAGTTGCTTATTCAGTTAGAGCATAAACCTCCACAATCTTAATTTAGTTTGTGACTTTAGTTTTAAGATCATTGACCTATCCGAGGTGCTATGAATTATTTGAATTTGGGATTTTCTTTTCTTATTGATTAAGAAACCTAGTCCATCGTATGTATAATCTTCTTTTTTTTATAGTAGAGCCTATTCACACCCTTCACTTCTTCTTTTAACTTCTGATAGTCCCATTATGTCCTAATTGATGTTCCCCAATTCCTATTATAGTTAGTAGAGTTTTTCATCTTTTGCCACGGAACGTATGTTGTATATTGCTATAGGGAGTTGTTTGTAGTTTTAATATCATAATTATCCGACGTTTGAGATCACCATTGCGAAGGCTTCTCGATTTTCTACAATATGGAATAATTGTCCTGCATTTGATATCATAGTCCATTTACGAATGTTCCTCAACCAAGAAACCCGTTTTCTTCCTACACCTCTATGGCCCTTTATGTTGCCTTTAAGGGTCAGTTGTAATATTTTATTTCGACTTCCCCTTACTATATCTCCCAGATAACACATTTTTTGGTGTTTAACAGTCTTTAGCAGTTCTCTATCTTTGTTAATGCTCCTTAGTACTTTTTCATTAGTTTTTCTTGCTGTCCAAGGTATCTTCAGCATTCGTCTACAAACTCACATTTCCAATGCTTCAATTTTGTTGATGATCGATACTTTTAGCCGTTACACTTCTGCTATACAAAAGTACAGAATAAAAATAACACTTGACCATTCTTTAATTTAGTTTTAAACTGAGATGATTATTGCAAAGAATTTACTTTAAAATACTTTTATTCATTGAATAACAGTAGTTTTGGTCATTGCTATCCTACGTTTTATTTCTATATCTGGATCCACTTGGTCCATTATCACAGTTCTCAAATATCTCATTTTATGAACTTTCTTAACTTGAACTCCGTTTAATTGAAGCTTTGCATCGGGATGTTCTATATTCTTTTCATCGGGATCAAGTTCTAAAATAAAAATAGCCATTATGATTGCCAACCTCCGTAGGGAGACGGCACTCTAAGAAGAATCGGGATGTGGGTCACAAGTGCAGAATTTTTAGACCTTCAATATTATCTGACAGAATTATTGTATCGTCTGCATATGTAATCACATTAAGTAGTTCTTCGTTGCTTTTTATTCCATATGGTTGTCTCTCAAGTGCCTTTTTAAATAACTGGTCTGAGTAAAGATTGAACAATGTTGGCAACAAAGTGCAACCTTGTCTGACTCCTCGTTGTATGTAGATTTCATCGGTGAAGCTATCTCCAATATTTACAATAGCAGTTTGACTCCAGCAAAAATTTTTAATGACACAAATATCCTTGTCATCTATTCCGATATTTTTCAGTATTTGCATTAATTTTACATGCTGTACTCTATCGAATGCCTTTCCGAAGTCCACGAAACATGCAAATACATCTTTTCTTTGGTCACGGCATTTTTGTAATAGGATGTTAAGCGCAAAAAGTGCCTCCCTGGTTCCCATACCATTTCTAGAACCAAATTGGGTATCTTCGAGATTTTCTTCGTATTTTCGTCTAATTCTGTTGTGAAGTATTCTTAGGAAAATTTTAAGAGAGTCTCTCATTAGGCTAATTAATCGATATTTTGAGCATTTTCTCGCATTGTGTTTTTTAGGTATTACGACAAAGTGGATTTGAGCCAATCTGTGGGAATCACTCCGGTATCTTACAATCAATCCCAATTGACAACACTGAAGAAATCAGAGCAAACAAATATTTTTGAAGATATTCCAATCAGACCAGTCGTATCTTTTTTAGACACTTCAACCTTTGCTTTAGCAAGATACTTAACCCAATTCCTTAAAATATTATATAACAATAAATTCGAATATATAATAAACAATAATCTAAGTTTATCTAAAATAACATCATTAAAGATTTCCACAGCTGATATATTGATATTCTTAGATATCACTAATTTATTCACACACATACCAACACAAGAAGTTGTAAGTATAATAACTATGGACTTATGGAATAATACTTATTCCCCAAACCAAATCATTGAATATACAGAGCTTTTGAACATTTGCATCAGCCAAAATTTCTTTAATTTCAATAATGAGACATTTGTTCAACCAGATGGACTTGCAATGGGTTCCCCCTATCCCCAATTCTTGCAGATATCTTTTCGAACGATCTTAAATCTAATAAAATAATGAAAAACCATCCCTTCACTAATTACATCAAATTCTATTCGATACATGTAGATGATACATTTATAGTATTGAGTGGTACTCTTGATAATCTACATTCCTTTTTAGATTACCTTAATCTAGTACACCACACCATAAAATTTACTTTAAAGATTCAAAATGACTCAAATAGCAAAGACCTTAAATTTTCTAGATTTAACTTTAACATTAAGCAATATCTCGATTATTCTTGATATTTATAGAAAGCCAACCCATATTGGTACAGTTATACCAGCTGGTTCTCATCATCTTATTCCATATAAAATATCAGCATCCTACAGTTATATAAATCGGTTAATATCTTTACCATTGCCTATGACATAATTTATTAAAGAATTAAAAATAATTTAACAAATATCTGTAAACCATGGTTATTTCATTAATTTAATCAATAAAATAATACCTACCTCCTATTTCATTTGTTAATATCTCTCCCCCCAAGAACTTTCCCGCTAATTGTCAACACAGTTACAATACAACCGATGATCACCCATCACCAGCAATCCAGGATAGTTTGAACTGTTTTCCGAATCATTAATTAATAATTCTTGTACCGGCATGTAAGTAGTATTTTGGTTATTTACTAATTTATTTAAATTCAATAGATTACTTTATACCAATTTGTTGGTTTTTACTTTGTCTGCTTTATCAATTTTATCCCTATTAATAATCACAGACATGTAATATTGGCATAATTACTGTAATTGTTATCTTTAAAATACAGCACCCTAATGTGGGCTTTTCTAATTTCAGCATTTAATTAGCTTGGTACCGTTAGACCTACAGATGCTTAGCAAAATGTAGTAAGCGAGACCGGTCGTTTTGGTGGTAAAATTAAATTGATTTTGTAAGTCTTATTTTATTTCTTTTTATCTATAACAGATCTTTTTTCTTGACGATGGATATTGGCAGTTGCTTGGAGTATGTTTTTTTCAATGAGACTTTTTTTTATCTGTACCTACATACGCTCCTGTATCGCCACGTCCAGCAAGTGCCAGATCTATAACTTAAAAATGTATGCTCAAAGTCTTACAGAAAATCTTAAGACATACTCTTTGAATTTCGTTATTATTGTCCGAAAGTAATAATACTTTGAATACTTTTTACATCCTTTAGAGTAACTTTGAATACTTTTAGAGTTTTCTTGACGTGGACGGGATCGTAACTGCACAAATAAATGATTTTTGTCTACATGGATCTTTCAGCTGCCAATAATTTTTGAATAACTTTTCTCTTTGCATTTGACATATCTTTTGGAAGCATTTAGAGCAGTCAACATCTTCAAAACTTTTTTTCAGGCAATAATTCTCCAGAGCGATTTACATACATCTTATCTGACACACGTCTTTCCTTTCTCACATTTCTCGTCCAACTGGAGAGGTCTGCAAACCTCTTTCGTTTTCTCGTTAAACCTGGATTAATTTCTTCAGTTCGAGAATATTGAAGATCGGTAGATGAGCTGCATGGAATTGCATCATTATTCGAGTCTGTAGTCAAAACACTTCTAGAGTTTTCATCAGGTGCCACTGTATTGTTAGACAGTTCTGAATTAAAATTCTCTTGGACAACTTCTCCTATACTACTATTTTTTCATCACTAGATAGCTCTGAAAAATTTGGTACGTATGATTCACCAGAATCAGAAAAATCACTACGTTGGATTGAGTCATCTACCATTCCCCTGGTCGCTCGGTTTGAAGGAGTCATGGATTTCACTTTCTTTGGTCGGAGAATATAAATTATGTGATGAGGTAGATGAAATCACGTCATTTTTTGATTCTGTAGTACAAATACTCTTACCTTGTCTAGCAGATGCGGTGATGTGATCATTACTGTATATTACTGGATTTAAAGTCTTATAAGCAGCATTTTCCGCATTTATATTTAATCCAAGTACCAAAATCAGGATTGGGTTCGTCAGCTAAACCAAGAAAAAGATGTATTTAGAAAATGAATATTAGGTATATCAATTTAAAAGCTTTGGTTGATTTTTCACACTGGATTCATTGCTGGACATACGCCTTCCTCTTATCCTCCCTGCTGCCTGCCCTCCTGCACCCGATTCATGTGATACTGTTTTCATATTATAATAACCAATAACTATAAATTAAAAAGGACTAACTCTTAAGTTTTATTGAATTAGAATTAAGTACGTAAATCTATAAAAATAGTTACTTACAATTTTAATGGAGTTGTATAATTGTCAACTCACTGTATGGTTTATTTTCTCTGAAATATTCGTTACTCAGTGCTAACTGCAACAGTTTACAACTTCTAGATCGTTTTTCCATTAGCTTTGTCAATAAAACATACATACATAAACAATCATTCACTTGACACCAAAAAAGAAAACTTTAACAACTATAACCTCAAAAACACACACCACACAAGCTGCTTATGTTTCAGCTGACTTGTTGATAGTGACATATTATTTTTTGCACAATTATTGCATGTCCTAGACATACAAATATTCTGCGTTTTCTCTTCTGATTCCTAAAAGCACAGATATTGTATGTATGGACATGCAACAATTGTTCCCTTCATAATACATTTTTGAGCTTAATTCACAGTTTTAAAATGTCATTTATATCGCCCCAAACGCTTTAGTACATGCAATGTATGTGCAGACTTATAGATTGTTAGGAGGTCATCAGAATATAGTGCATAACTGAATAATAAAAAAAATGGACATACAATAAGTGTGCTTCAAACCATCGATATATTTAAGCACAGAAAAACACTAATGTGTAATTTTTTTTTATTTCAGGCAAACTATGGAGACAGTTCTTATGGAGGAAATCCCCATGAAGGAAGATATCATGGAAGACGGCACTACTTCAAAAACTTTTTCCTTTCAAAACATGAAAAGTCTTTACTTCATCGTATCCACTTAGAATGCCTAGAGGAGACTTCGTGTGAATTGGAATACTTAGAAGATCCATTCCAGTACGATGATTACGAACCTTTGGCGGATTATATGTTATGCCTGTCAAAGAAATACGGATTTATAGGTAGACGTGGACAATTGAAGTTCGAGAACTTGAGATATAAGCTAGGAATGATCTGTGGTGATGAAGATCCCGAGTTTTACATTAACACTTGCGCTGTTCCTTTTGACTACCCGTGGAGACATCCTTTAATCTGTGGAAATGTCTAGATAACCATGGTTTTCATTTTCTTAAGGCATGTTTATAGTATGTTATGTGATTAGTATTTGAATTTGTAGTTGTGTTTTAAATATAGAATAAATGTTTTGACGTATATGAAGTTCTTTTATTTTAAAGGGACAACTATTTTTTTTTGATAAGAGGCATGTAACTCAATAAAAATGATGATTATTATCATAATATAAGTTGTTTACTATTGTCTTTAAATTATGGTGTTGTTTTGATATTTAAGTAACAACTGTTTCTCTATGTTTATGTGTTTTTAATTTATATTTTTTAATAACTATCTTTCGCATAATTTTTTAAATGTTATACTTTTTAACTTGTACCGTTCCTTTAAATTTCGCATGTATAAGATTCTTCTCCTTTCTATGCTTCTCCTCTCGTGGATCTTCCCTTGTATAAACTATTGAAGGACGTCATATCTTTCACCTCGCATGGAAAGTTCAGTTATTGCAGCTTTAGTATTTTGATGGTTTTTATTATTTCCATTCTTGTGCTAACTCTTCTCATCACTTCGTTGTTTGTTAAATGCCCAATCCATGATATATGTAGGATTCTTCTTTTTATCCACAGTTCTAAAGCTTCTAGTTGCCACGTTAAAGGGTTCCGCTTCCACTGCATAAAATAGAGTCAAGAAAATACAACAACTTGCTAGCCTAACTCACAAGTCTAGTTTCAATTGTCTTTCCCATTTTATTGAAGTTTGTTCGTGCTTTTTCTATTTGATTTCTTTGGAGGAATCATTGGTGTGACTTATTATTGTGTCCAGATAGTTGTAGTTTTGACTTGTTCTAAAATGTTTCCGTTAATTCTCAGGGTTTCATCTTTATTGATGTTTATTGATTGTCCATATTCTTCTTTATACTCAACTATCTTGTTCACAAGCCTATGCAGGCCGTGAAGGTTATCCGCTATTATGATAGTGTCGTTGTTAATTGGTGTTCTATTGAGCTTTATGTCAGCTGTTTCCTCTGAGAGAGCTAGGTACTTTCATAATTTCTTCAGAATATACGTTGATTAGTTGTGGTAACAATCCACACCTCTATTGTACCCCTTTTTAATTTCGAAATCTTCTCAAGTGTATTCATTAATACGTATATGTGCCCGCTGCTTATAATATAGATTGGTTATAATTCGAAGGTCATTATAGTTAATTTGTTTTGCTCTGAGGACATGCATAAGCTGTTATGGTGAACTTTATCAAAAGCCTTGTTGTTATCTACAATCAGATGCACGCATACTATACTATGTTAAACAATCTTCTCCTTCTTTAGCCTATTTGCATCCACTACTGGACAAAGACCTTCCCATGAGTTCTTAAATCTTTTCTGTTTTGTGTTATTTGGTGCCAGTTCTGCATTTGTTTTCTCAGAAATCTGTAGCTTCCTCCGTGGTTATTGTTAGTTGATGCTCTGGAAACCATCACGGTCTTCTAACTCTAATACCAAAAATTGGTCGCGTTGCTCCTGTATTGATCCTTTCTCAAGTTAAAATGCTTCTTTTATAACTTGACTGTACCGTACTGAAGACGACCAATAGTTGGAAATACATACGAGACCCTTCCCATTTTAGTTGTCCCAACGTTAGATTGATTTTTTGTTAATTTGTTAACATCTCTCTCTTCAATCCTGACCCCCCAGGGAAGTGTAGTGGTCAACGTGATGTCGTGTATTGTTCGTCTCCAGAGATCTCTGTCTCTGGTCATTTCTTTTATTTCATGCATAGGTCTTTGGCATATTCCTGTAATTTGATCTATCCATCTTGTTGGGGATCTTCCTCGTGATCTTCGGCCTTCTACCTTTCCTTGTTTAATGAGTCTTTCCATGTTTTCTATGTTTGCTCTCATAACATGCCCAAAATATTTTAATTGTTGGAGATGGACTTTACTAGAGAGTCGTTGGCTGACTTTTAGCTCTCTTAAAATTGAATTATTTGTTCTACGGTCGGTCCAAGGAATTCGTAACATTCGTCTCCAAAAGAACATTTCAGCGGCGTCTATCTTTCTTCTCTCCGGTTGTCTCAGAGTCCAAGATTCACATCCGTAGGTCAGTATCGGGAATATTAAGCAGTTGATCAACCTCATCTTTATCGCTCTTGAAATTTGACAGTCCTTCCATATTTTGGTCATTTTTGCTGTGGCAACTTTTGCTAGATCACATCTACGTTTAATCTGTTCTTGTAATGACCCTGTGTTTGTGATTAATGATCCCAGATATAAGTATAAGCTCACAACCTCGAACCGGTCAATTGTGGTTATGTGTGGATGATTGTTGTGTAGTCTATCCACTATCATGATCTTTGTCTTTGATATGTTTAATTGCAGACCAAATATTTGACTTTCGTTTTCGATCAGTCGTATAACGTTCCATCAGCTCTGCTTGACTATTTGCAAGAAGGATTGTGTCATCGCGAAACGTAGGTTGTTTAGTTTATGACCATTTATTGAGATGCCCTTTTCCCATCCTTCAAGTGCTCTTCGCATATTATACTCCCCATATATGTTGAATAATTGTGGAGATAGTATACATCCTTGTCTGACACCCCGTTCTGGATGAAACTCATTCGAAAGTGTGTCAAGTACTTTAACTGATCCAGTAGTGTGTTCATATAGTTCAGTTATAAGCGTAATTAGATGCTGTGGTACGCCTACTTCTTTTATTATTCGCCATAAATGTCTCCACTTGACCCTGTCGAACGCTTTACGGTAATCTATAAAACAGATGTATAGTGGGATGTTAAATTCCCTAGATTTCTCGATTATCTGTCTTATATTCAGCAGGTGTTCTCGAGTGCCTCTACCTTTGGTAAATCCAGTTTGCTCTTGTGGAATTTCTCCTTGAAATAATGTTTTCAGTCTCTTATTGATTATATGTAGCATTATCTTGCTGGCATGGGATATAAGAGAGATAGTTCTATAATTGTCGCATTTATGGAAGCTGCCTTTTTTATGTATGGTCGTTATTGTAGATTTTATCCAGTCTTCAGGCCATTGTTTGGAATGCCATATTTGGTTACAGAGTAGATGAAGTAACTTTACGCCGGTTTCTTCTGTGGCTTTAAGCATTTCTGCTGTTATCATATCTGGACTTGGTGCTTTGTTATATGCTTGCAGGTTCTTCTTCCACCTCGTCAGAGATTTGGCTAACAAGCTCTTGGCGTTGATCATCTTTATATAGGTCCCTGCAATACGATCTCCATGTCTCTGCTATATCTTCTCTGTTTGTTCTCAGGGTGCCAGTGTTAGCTTCAATGGCCCAAGTTCTGGCTCTGAAGTCTCTTGTCCAGGTAGCGTATTTTTCTAAATAGATCTCTCGGCTGATTATTTTGACCATGTCTCTCAATTTCTTTGCATATACTTTGATAGTACTGTTTTTAGTCGGCCTTACATCTTCGTTTTATTTCTTTATTGAGGTTTCTTAAACTAGCTTTTTCCCTTTCGTTTCCGTTTCCCAGTGTTTCCGTTTCTCCGGATTATTTTTCTTTGAGCGATCCACTGGTGTTGTTACGCAATGTTTAACAGTCTCCCATATTTCTTGTGATGTTCCGTTACGAATAGAGGGCATACTTTTCTGTACTTCCTGTAGAAGGTCGTCTTTCTTTCTTAGTTCTATCCTCTTTATCTCTCTTTGTTTGTTGGGTGCTTTAAGTTTAAGCATTACTTTAGCTACGAGGAGAGTATGATCGGATCCGCATATCGCCCCTGGATATGATCTGACTGTTTGAATGGACGATCTCCAGCGAATATTGGTGAGGACGTAATCTATTTGATTTCTAAATCTAACTCCAGGACTTGTTAACATATGCTTAATAAATTAGAACAAACAGTTTTTTAAATAATTATTAATAACTTTTTTAAATGGCTGTTAATACATGAAATCTTAGACCAAGAACAAGAGGTTAAATGTAGAATAGAACAGGCAAGAAACACCTTCTTAAAGATGCGACAGTTAATCACTACCCGTAATCTTGATTTGTCCCTACGATACCGCATGATAAAGTTTTATATATATATATATATATATATATATATATATATAGTATACTATTACACGGCGTGGAAGTTTGGACGTTATCAGTCAGCTCGTTACGACGTTTAGAGAGCTTTAAGATGTGGGTATTTCGTTGTATGCTGAAAATTCCATGGACCGACCGCGTTAGAAATGAAGAAGTTTTAAGGCGTATCAACAGAGAACGTGAACTCACAGAAATTGTCAAGAAGCGTAAAACGTCTTATCTTAGACACATCTTTAGACACGACAGGAATAACTTCCTTCAGCTTATTATAGAATGGAAAATAGAAGGCAGACGCGACCCGGGTAAACGACAAATGACCTCGCTGCACAACATCAAAGATTGGACAGGATTAGACTTTCAAAGTTTAATAAGGAAAGCCCAAAATAGGGAAGACTTTGCAAAGGTCATCGCCAACCTTCGCTAAGAAGACGGCACCCAAAGAAAAAGAAGATAGGATAGTACGAATAGCACGAAATAAGTCACCAAATGGACGAAGAAGTATTGGTAGACCAAGAAAAAGATAGTGCGACAATTAAGGAGGCTAATATTGAAGAAGAAACAAGCTTTAAAGCCTACATACAAGACGGAAGAAGAAGAAGAAGAAGAAAAAGAACTTTTTTAAAAATGCATCACAAGTTAATCTTTTTGTATGTTTTATAATCATATATTATTAAATTCACTAAGAATGACTTCTAAATACCTTTATTAAAGAGTTCCCTGCAAAGAGAGTTATTTTTTTCTTTAATTTTCCTATTGTATAGAGTATGTTAAAGCAGCTAGTTGTAATTTCAGTTCTGTTAATTTCAAAGCATCATCCTCATACCTTATAAACATGAACAGGTACATTTTAAAAGTACTAAAATAATACTTAACAACACTGATATAAAAGAGTTTAATGATTATAGCATCATCAACTCAAAAGTATTAGCTGGGATTCTTCAAATAATTACAATCGTTGATTCCCAAATTACCACATGACAAGCATTTTTTAATTGGTACACTTCTCGGTACTATTGAAAAAAGTAGTTTAAAAAGAGACGTTGTTTCCGTTAAAGATTATTATTTTGCTAACATTTGGTGGTGCGATATACTATACCAATATTCCATTATGAAAGCAATTATTGTTTTTTCTTTGTTTATTGTTGCTGCTATGGTAAGTTTGATTTATCAATAATTCCATTATATAGTTTATTTGTAGTTTTTCTTCTTCTTCTTCGTCTAGCCATTCACGTCCACATCTGAACATAAGTCTCTCCAAGTCTTCCTTTCCATTGTTTTTTATTGTACGCTACTTGTAGCCAATTTTTCCCGGGAGTCCTTTTCAGATCATCTGTCCATCTCATAGGAAGTCTGCCTCTGGGTTTTTTGTGTTGGTATGGTCTCCAGGTTAAAATTGATCTGTGCCATTTGTTTAGATCGCTCCTGGCTACATGTCGAGCGTATTCCCATTTCAACTTTAATGATTTTTGCACCACATCGGTGACTTTTGTTTTCTGTCTTATCCATGTGTTTGTTTTCTTGTCCTTAAGTGATATACCTAAGTATATTCATATTCATTTTTGTGATTGTCCGTGTTTGTGCCGCATAAGTTAATTTCGGAATAATGCATGCATCAAAAACTTTAGATCTAAGATGTAATTGAATTTGTTGATTTCTGAGTATATAGTTCAGTTTACCGAATGCTGCCCAAGCTAACTTTTTTCTTCTTTTTATCTCTTCAGTTTGAATTTCCCTATTTAGGATTATGTTTTGTCCTAAGTATATATATTCTTCAACTTTTTCTATAACTATCGTTTATTATTGTCACGGTGTCTTCGGAGTGCATGACTTTTGTTTTGTTTAAATTCATTTTCAGTCCTATTTTAGAAGATTCGGTATGTAGTTCTAAAAGCATGGTTTGCATTTCTTGTAGGTCAGTAGCTATCAGGATTATGTTATCTGCAAATCGTAGATTACTGAGGTAGCGTCCATTGATGTTTATTCCCTTATATTTTCAATTTAGGTTTTTAAAAACGTCCTCCAAAACTAAGGTGAACAGTTTGGGTGATCAAGTATCTCCCTGTTTGACTCCCCTGTTTAATGGTACAGGGTTCGTGTGTTCATTTTCATTTAGGTAGTATGTAGCTGTAGCTTGGTTCATAGTTTCTTTTATTAAGTTAATATATCTGCTATCTATTCTACAATTTTGCATTGCGTTTATTACGGCCGTGTGTTCTATGGTATCGAAAGCTTTTTCGTAGTCTACAAATGCTAGGAAAACTGGAAACTTGTATTCGTTACATTTTCTATTAATATTTTTGTGGTTAACAGGTGATCGGAAGTTGAATAGCCTTTTCTAAAACCTACCTGCCAACTGTATGGTTGGTATTCGTCTAATTTCCTTGTTAGTCGAGTAGTTATGACTTTGGTGAGTATTTTAAACAGGTGTGACAGTAGGCTTATGGGTCTGTAGTTTTCCAATTTTCGACTATCACCTTTCTTGTGTAATAAGATTACTTTAGAGTTGTTTCAGCTTTTAGGGACTTTGCCCTGATGTAAACAACTGTCCACAGGCTTAGTGTCAATTGCAATTAGTTCCTTACCTCCTTCTAATATCATATCTGTGGTAATACTATCTTCTCCTGCAGCTTTATTTCTCTTCATGTTTTCCAATGTTGTAGTTACCTCTGAAATTGTTACTTTTGGCATTATTTCTGATCCAACATTTTTTATTAATTTCCGTGCTGTTCTCATCTCATCATCTTGTTGATGTGTTCTGTAAAGTTCTGTGTAAAATTCTTCTATTCGTGTCAGTATGTTTTCTCTAGTTGTGATTTCATTTTCGTGTTTTCCCATTAATGATATCATCTGACGTCGTCCTAGTGTCGGTCTGAGGCATTTCATACTCTTATTTTTTTCAATAGTTGTTGTTATTAATTTTTCGTTTTCTTTTCTTTTTTGTTGTCTGATTCCTTTTCTAATCTGCCTATTAAGTTCTCTATATTCGTCGGTTCCCCTTTTGTCAGAATTATTTAAGATATTTCTTCTTTCTATTTGTTGTAATATTTCTTTGTCTAATTCATTGTATGTTGTTTTTGGTTTTTTCAGTTGCAGAAGGCTTTTATTCACTGTTTCGGTAATAATGTTATTCAAATCATCAATATCATTGGAGTTTATATTACTATGGAGTTTATTTGTACTTATTTTTGTAAAATGTTTAATTTTTGTAGCTGTCTAGCTGTCTGTTAATTTCGGGTCCCAAAATACAAAGCCATAACCTATGCGGTGGTTTATTGCATCTCTGTGAAGTCTTTGTAAGAAAACACGGCACCGATTTGGAAAACAGTTTTCTCATACTCAAATGTACGTGTAGAATAGTAAAAACGTTACTCTGAAACCTTTAATGTGTCAGCTATCTGGCAACTTGACTTTGCAGTTTTTGTAGGTAACACTTCACAGATTTTTTTTATATTTTCGGGAATAACTATCTGGTTTGGCCATCCACAGCTCTCAGTGTCGATACGACCGCTTTTGAATTTAGCAAACCATGGTTTAATTACTGTAATAGATGGAGTCCCGGTATATTTATTCCTATCATTTGCACCCTTGATTCGTTAATCTTTCCTAGTCCTACTGTGTTAAGTACATTATATCAGGACCACGTAATTACAATTCTGTAAATTGTTTTGTTTTTTGAGTGAGTTGCATATCTTTAAATCAGCTGCTGTATTTCAAGTAAGTTACCTATCAAAACATGCCGTTAAATGCTTTATTTATGTCAATAATTTCATTGAACCGAAATCCCTAGTGTGTTATACCTTTCTCTGAAAGTATTATTCACCCAAGTGCTTCAAAGACTGTTCAAAATGTGTGAAAAATGTATACAGGCTTTAATTTTGTAGCAGAATCCTAATAAATTGCTCTATCATTCCATAGTAAAACGAATTTCTGTATTGTCATATTTTCATTCTAAAAATTTTTGAAATATTTGTTAACTGCAAAAATTATTATTAATAAACACAAAAAATTATTATTTTTGTTATAGGCAAGCTATGGAGATGATATTTATGAAGAAGGTCCTTTTGAAGGAAGACACCATGGAATAAAGCACTATTTTAAAAACTTTCTCCTTCCAAGGCACGAGAAGTCCTATCTTCACAGTATTCATCTAGAATGCCAAAGAGAGAGTTCGTGTGAGCTTGAGTATCTACAAAATCCATTCCAATACATGGACTACGAACCTTTGGGAAATTACATGTTGTGCATGTCTAAAAGATACGGATTCATGGGTCGTCACGGACATTTAAACTTTGAAAACTTAAGACATAAGCTTGGAATGATCTGTGGTAGTGAAGATCCTGAAATTTACATCGATACGTGTGCGGTGCCCTACTACAATCCTGTTCGTACAGCTATAAACCTTTGGAACTGTTTGGATCACCACGGTTTTCACTTTCTTAAGGAATGTTTCTAGTGTATTGTTGTGATTACTTTTTAAAATGAATTAAATTATTTCTGAAATATAAATTAAATTACTTTATTAAATATTATTAAATTACAATTTTTATTTAATCACTTGTTTATGCAACTGTGGTATTTTTTGAAAATTTAGATAAAAAACTCTTTAAAACTGTACATATTAATGGTTTAAATAAAATTATAGAAAAAAGTAGGAATTTTTTATAATGTTTTTATTGTAATCTTTTTCTTCTTCTTTTTTTAGTTAAGCACTACCTGTGCTTCTTCAACCTTGACTCTTATGTCATTTATTTATTAGCTTTTCTCCTATTTATGGGCCGACATATGTTTCTTTTTCCGTTTTTTGATTGTCTAAGGCTATTTTAACTATACAATTGAGTAACCATACTTATAAATAATAGAATATCAAAATAAATCGGGCAATATGAATTAATACACGAGAGTAAACGTTTGAAGAAAAAATGAAAATGAACCACATTTGAGAGATATTGTCAGGTCATTTAGCTTGGGGATTAGAAATAACAGAGAGGAACGTCTCCTACAGTTTGCCATTGAAAACAATCTAGTGACAATCAATACATTTTATAAACACCAACCAAGAAAGCTCTCAACATGGACTAGTCCAAATGAAGAACATAGAAATTAAATCGACTACATACTCAGGCGGAAAAGATGGAAAACCTCAGTATTAAATGTAAAAGCTTTACCTGGAGCATACTGGGGATCAGATCATAAACTACTAGAAATGACCTGCAGGCTCAAACTACATACAACTATATAAATTTATCACACAAAACAGCTAAGGGTAAATAATGTACAGAAATTCCAGATAAAACTTATATACAAAGAAAATCCACAAATATAAGGAGACATAAATAAAATGTGGAATGGAATAAAATGCTAAATATTATATTTAGCGAAAAAGAGTGTACACCGCGTAAAACCCAAAGGAACAAATTTGGAAACCTTAGAATAAGTCGAAAAAAGAAGTTATGCTATAATATACCACAAAAACAGGAAGCAACACTTGGAAGGAATGGCGAAACCAAACAGAAGAATAAAAGGTATGTGCACCAGAGATAAACACAACCATATAAATAACGTGTGTCAAGAACTGGAGCAATATGTGAACCTCCAACAAAGTCATGAACTAGTTAAAAAAAGTTAAATATTTGGCGCGAAAGTTCGAGCTTCAACTTCATGCCATTCAAGACCATAATGGAAAAGTAAAAATCGACATAGAGCGCATTGCAAAGACATGGAAAAGATACTGCTCAGGACTGTCCAAAGACACTTTAAAAAATACATAAGTCTTAGATCACAAGAAACATGCAATCAGAGAGGCAGAACCAATAATCTTTCAAGCAGGAAATATTGCTTTTAGCAGAGACTCTAAAAGCAATGGGAGAGATTGGCGTAAATGTAATAATGGATATATTGTGAAACATAATGGATCACAGGTGAATGGCCTGATGAATGATGCGAATCAACATTTATCCCTTTTGATCAAAAATGATCACTAATCATAAGCAGCAATTACAGAAATATTGCCCAGAAGCAAAGTCTTCTTCTTCTTCTTTTTATATAGATATGACTCTGTTTTTCAATGTGCCTCCAGTAAGTTGTCGTTTCATCGTTTTCGTGGTCTTCCTACCGATCGTCTTCCTATTTTGAAACCATCTCTTGCCGTCTTTACTACTCTAATTGTTGTCATTCGTCTTATATGATCGTTCCATTCTACTCTTCTATTTCTTACCCAGTTCTTGATGTTCTCCACCTTGCACCTACGTCGTATATCTGTACTTCTAGCTTTGTCCCATAGTTTTTTTTTGTTTATTAAAACTCCAACAGGAATCTTATGACTATCGCTATCTGATCATTCACTATGATCAATAAGCAAGTTAGTTCTATATATAAATATTACAAGAAACTTATCTAAGGTTATATTCAGCAATATTCCTTAGGCTCTAATACATTATAGTACTACTAGCTAACGTGTACACTTTAGTCGCACTTTACTCTGCTTTTTCACTTTCACTCACTTATAGCACTAAATCAAACGGCTTTGTTCTCTTTAGTCTTCTTATCTGGTTGGCGTTGTCTAGGAGTTTAATGGCCTCGACGTTCACGTGTTTGAAGAGCTTTTGTTCATGACTCTCGGCAAACTTACTTATTGTCTGGATAACTGTATCCATCTGGAGGTCTCGATGAAGATCACAGTTTCTAAAGTACCATGGAGCGTTAACGATGTTCCTTAATACTTTATTCTGATATCGTTGTGTATGTTGGATGTTGCTTTCTTTTGTACAGCCCCATAGCTGTATTCCGTATGTCCATATCGGTTTAAGGACTTGCTTATATAATAGCAATTTGTTGTAAATAGACAGAGTGGATTTTTTTCCCATCAACCAGTACATCTTTCTGAACTTAATTTCTATTTATATGAACTGGGATATGTTATTAGTAAAAATGACATGAACATATTTTGTTTCATTCAATTTGATACGCCATCGGCTGGTCCAGATGTTAATTTGTTCAACAGAGTTCTGTAGCATGGTAGCTGCATCCTCGTGGTTTTGTCCGACTGCTAGAATGCATGTGTCGTAGGCAAATATCGCAATTGTGTTAAGTTCTAATGATGGAATATCGCTGGTATAGAGCAGGTATAGCACTGGCCCCAGGACACTTTCTTGGGGAACTCCAGCTTTAACTTCTCTTAATTCTGAATATGCTTCCTCATATTTAACTCGAAAGTATCTGTTGGATATATATGATTCTAGTAGTTCAAAATATTGTTTTGGTTAGTAGCATCTCATTTTATGATATAGTCCGTCATGCCACATCTTGTCAAAAGCCTGCCCTACATCGAGCAAAATTGCGGAACAAACTTTTCCTTCTTCTAGAGCTTTTTCTATGATATCTGTTATTCTATGCACCTGATCTATCGTTGAGTGGCTTGCTCTAAACCCAAACTGATAATTAGGAATTAGACTTTTTTCCTCTAGAATCGGTTTTAGTCTCTTCAAGAGTAATTTTTTGTATAATTTAGACATGACAGGTAACAGTGAAATAGGCCTATATGAAGAAGCTTCTTGTGAAGGTTTTCCTGGTTTTAGTGTCATTATAATTTCTGCCACCTTCCATATCTTTGGTACGTACCTCAACCTAAAGGAAGCGTTTATAAGATGTGTTAATTTTATAATAGCTTTCCTTGGAAGTTGCTTTAACACTTCCCCAGTAATTAGATCAAATCCAGGAGCTTTCTTTGGATTTATATTTTCTTTTATTTCCAAATATACTTCTTTTGGAGTTACAAGTGTCCCATAGTGTGGGGGCAATGGCAAGTCGGAGTTAAACATTCTCTAGTTGTTCTAAACAAAGTAATGACTTTATTTTATCGAAAGATTGACATTGGTTCGACCAGATGAATTCCGCATCCTTTCTTAATAAGTTGTGTAGTGGGTCTAAATGATTGCAATATTTTGAAGAAACCTATGATAATAATTTGTTTTCCCCAAGAAATAACTTACATTCTTTCTTGTTTATGGAACAAGAAACTTTTTCACGGCAATCAGATAATCTTCTACAGGTTTGATGAAATTTTTTTTATTGTGTGACCTTTTTTAAGGAAATATTTTACAGACTTTAACTTTTGTGATAGTATTACAAGCTATTCAAATGTAAATGTAAAAAAAAACTTTTCATTTTAAACATATGGGGATCTCTGATTTCAGTATGTCTCGCAGATTTACTAAGGCAGAAAAATTGCAAGAAAATCATTGATTAACAAAACAGTCAAGGGATCAGAAACATGTGGAGGGTAGATAACTTTAATTAGTGGGTTTAAGAAAAAAAAGAATAAATGGAACAGACACTTTAATAGGATAAATAGTTAAAATGATCCTAAACAAGTCAACAATTGGAAGAAAACAAGAAAAGGAATAATAAAAAGAAAAATATATGAGAACTTATAAAACGGTCGTTGTTATTGTCTGTATTCATATTTAAATCAGTTATATATGTATGCCGTTTGCAAAAGAGATTCGTTTCTAAATTGTCAAAAAATACCAGTTTCGAAAAAATAATTTTTTAATATATATTTTTTAAATAAATTATATTTTAGAAGTAATCACAACGATATCTAGAAACATTCCTTAAGGAAGTGGAAACCGTGATGATCCAAACAGTTCCAAAGGTTTATAGCTGTACGAACAGGATTGTAGGAGGGAACCGCACATGTAGATATTGATGTAAATCTCAGGATCTTCACTACCACAGATCATTCCAAGCTTGTATTTTAAGTTTTCAAAATTTAAATGTCCATGACTACCCATGAATCCGTATCTTTTGGATATGCACAACATGTAATTTCCCAAAGGTTCGTAGTCCATGTATTGGAATGGATTTTGTAGATACTCAAGCTCACATGAACTCTCTCTTTGGCATTCTAGATGAATACTGTGAAGATAAGATTTCTCGTGCCTTGGAAGGAGAAAGTTTTTAAAATAGTGTTTTATTCCATGATGTCTTTCTTCAAATGGACCTTCTTCATAAAAATCATCTCCGTAGCTTGCCTAAAACAAAAACAATAATGATCATCAACAGAAATTTCAACTTTTGTAATTGAAGTAATTTTTTTAAATAATACATAACTAAAAACCGTTGTACTATTGAATGATAAAGCCATTTATTAAAATTCGACTATAAAATTAAAGGATATATTGAAATGACCCTAGCTACGCTCTCACACATTAAGGAATGCATTATAAGACCACCATTTGAAGCACTTGGTTTGTACAACAATTATACTTGTGGGAAAATGTATAACACACTAAGAATTTTAGTCAATAGAATTAATTATCAAAGCTCTTACAAGAAAACTTTGATAATGTTGAGCACCATTACAATTACATAAAACAATGTCTCCAAAGTGCAGTAGAAGAAGCGGGTAAATATGAAAAAACCGAACGAAGGTCACATTGGTGGGATGAAGAAATCGAAAAAAAAATAAACATTAAACGAGATAAATACCACAAACACTTAAATATAAGTACTGATCAAAGTAAAAACGAATATAGAATAGCCCTAAGAAACGTACGATGTGCGATAAAGAAGAAGAAGAACGAAAGGTGGAAAATACTTTGATCTCTTTGACAAGATAAGACTTAAGACATCATCTCACCGATCAGCCTAAATAAATGAGACGAATACTTCGCAAATCTACTGGCGGAAGAAAGGGCAGAATATTTACAAACACCTCAAACGCAATCAGAGGTTCAAGTACATACAATAGCTTCCACAATTAGGATTGACGACAAAGAAGTAGCAAAGGCATGCCAAGCATTAAAGAATAGAAAATCCCCAGGCCCTGGCAATTTCCCACCTGAGCTACTCAAGTACGGTACAAGCAAATTATATAAGCAGCTACCCAGCCTTTAGCAAAAATGTATACCGGAGAGAGTATACCGGAGAAGTAGAGGACATCATTTATCACGACAATACATTGGAAGAGAAGTAAAGATGTATGTGACAATTATCGAGTCATTAGCACCATCTCGAGAGTTTACGGGAAACTCTTCAAAAATAGAATGGAAGATGAATTCTGTGATATGGAGGCCGAAGAACAGGCCGGCTTTAGAGCACGTAGATCAACTATTGACCATCTGTTTTTTGTTACCCAGCTAATTGAAAAAAAAAGTGGCCCGAAATCAACCAAGACATATCCTCTACCTGGACCTTAAAATAGCTTCTGATAGTGTGTCATAACAAAAACTCTGAAAAGCTATCGAGAAAATAAATATTAGTGTAACATTAATCAAGACTGTTTAGGACCTCTACAAGAACAACACAAGTAAACTAAAGAAAGGTCAGAAGGTATCCAAGGGTTTCACTATCAGCAAAGGACTCAAACAAGGATACTACTGCGTGTCTCCTACTTTGTTTAAGATCTACTCTGAGCAAGCGATAATGATGTAGAAAAGAAAATGCAGAAACATGGTAATTCCTCTAAAACACGGAATATTGTACACATTGTGTTTTCCAGACGACCAGATAGTGATGGTCTAAGACTATGAAGACCTCGAATATATGACCCGTAAACTTATCGAAGAATACGAACTATGGTTCTTCTTCTTCTTCACGTGCCATCTCCGCTACGAAGGTTGGCTATCATCATGGCAATTTTGACCCTGGAGGCTGCCGCTCGGAACAATTGTATGGAAGTGCAAGCAAACCACTCCCTGAGGTTTCTCAACCACGACATTCTTCTCCTACCTATGCTGCGCCTACCTTCAATCTTTCCTTGCATAATTAGTTGTAACAGTTGATATTTATTCCCACGTGTAATATGTCCCAGGTATTGTAGTTTCCTCATTTTAACATTCAATACGACCTCCTTTTGTTTGTTCATCCTGTCTAATACAACTTGGTTAGTTATCTTATCCTTCCAGGAGATTTTTAACATTCTACGGTACGCCCACATCTCAAATGCCTCCAGCTTACCCATACATTGCTTATTTAGTGTCCACGCTTCCACCCCATACAACAGGACCGAGAAAACATAACATTTAAGCATTCGTATTTTCAGCTTTAAGCTTAGGTTACGGCTACACAACATTTGTTTCATATTGTTAAAGGCACTGCGGGGTTTCTCTATTCTTATTCTTATTTCTCTGGTGTATTCGTTTGACTCGTTAATATTTGTTCCGAGGTAATTGTAATTTTGTACTCGTTCAATGAGATTCTGTCCTACATGTAAGTTGATATTATTGATACGTTTCTTTGTAATTATCATGAATTTGGTCTTCTTTGTATTCAGTGACAGACCAAATTCTTCACTTGCTTCTACCACTTTGTTTAGTAATCTCTGTAGGTCTTCAAGATTTTCTGCTATGAGCGCGGTATCATCAGCATATCGGATATTGCAAATGGGGTGACCGTTGATCTTTATTCCGGCTTTTTCGTTCATAAGAGCTTTTTTAATAACTTCTTCCGCGTAGACATTGAACAAGGTTGGAGACAACACACAGCCCTGCCGAACACCTCTTTTGATCTGTATTCTATCTGATATCGAGCTGTTAATTCGTACTGTAGCTTCTTGTTTGTAGTATAGATTCCTTATCACACGCATGTCCCTTTTCTATGTCAATTAATATATCTAGTAGTAGATAGATTAGTTATATTAGATAGTAGATTATCTACTTACCAAATTTTGTTCAAAACATTGAATGCATGTTGAACTTTATTATTTTTCAATATAAGGTTGAATGTTCGAATAATTAAACTTTGATGCTATAATAGAAGTTTGTATATAATGTTAGGATCTTCTAAATAGAGCTAAACTAAAAATTACAGAAAAGCTTGCATATTCATCACAGTTTTTTCAACCTAATGCTTCAGATAACATCAGATATTTCTCCTTCACTTATATTAGTAGCATTTCCAATAAAATATCTAAACTTTTTACTTCTACAATTGATAACATCAAAATTTGCTTTAAATCACATAACGCTTTAGGTTCCTTCTTAATCAATACCAAAGATAGGATGAATACACTTGATAAAAGTGGTATTTACAAATTAAAAGGTGATGATTGTGATGCCTCTTATGTAGGTAGAACCATCAGAAAGATATCCACTAGTCTCTGAACATTTAAAAAGACCAAATTCTTCAAGTTTTGGTCAAGACTTAGTATCCAGCAACCACAATTTTAACATCAATTCTGGTTCATCTATCTTACATGACATTAGTAGAAATAAAAAACTATCTTGAGTTGGATTTATTGGAAGATTTGGAGATTACAAGGGAAACAAATGAAAACTCTCACTGTCTTAATACTCAAATTAATTTAAATTGTACTAAATTTAATCCTATATTTAAAAACTTTATTACAGCTTCACCTCGTAGAGCACTCAGGTTGACTGTTTAGACTGCATGCACTGAGCATTTCAATATTAATTTTGAAGTTCTTCCATTGACTGTGGATTCAACTGAACTACTTGGATTATAACCCATTTATATATTTTGCTTTCAATTTTGATTTTAACTTTTAGTAATTTAACTGCATATTCAGATTTTTCCTTTTTTTACAGTACTGATAGCGCTTGGTAGACCATTTTATTGTAGTCAACCATCCACTGTCTAATATATTGTTTAGTCTTTTCTTACATTCATACTATATGTCAACGTCAATTATTGCTCTCAAACTAACATCCTAATTATTATAGACAGGTTTGAGTGTGCGATTTGGATTATTCAATCTACATAAAAAATATACTATATAATTTTATATTTCATCAGTTGATTTCCTATAGTGGTGTCAGTTGGACCTTTGGTCAATACTTAGTTTCATAGAATTTTGAAAGTTGCAGATCACATAACTGCCCTTTACAAGCTGTCATTTGTCACATGTCATCTCAATATTTCCGCCAGACCGGGAGCCCATTCTGTCTCCGGCTTCTATATATCATGTAGCTTCTCCTTTTTAAAAAAATTTTAAAGTGTTTGTTTGTCTTTGTGTATTGTATTGTTATGTCCAAATTTACATGTATGACATTCTACTCATGTCGGATAGGCCAAAACTGACGAAATAAATCTATTAACGTTTATCACATAAAAACTTTTTTCAACCATAGACTTGGAGTTTTTTTATCCAAGTGAATTAATTTTTCTTTTTTTATATAAAAAAACGTTTCTTGGCTTATTTCAGATGCCCCTGAAGATGATCTATTGATCGAAAGTACTTGGGCAAGATTTAATTAATTACTGTGTTCGATAGTTGCCTTGTATAACATCAAAGTTTATTATTTTTGTCTGTATATACTTTTTACGCGCCCTTTTTTTTCCATAATTTATCCCAAATATGTACTACTTCTACTACTATGTACGATGTCTACTTCTACTTTTTGACCCCTTCTTTATCATTATTTTATTATTTTGGGTGATGATTTTTTAACAGTTTGGTTTTCTTTGTGTTTATTCAGAGGCCGATCATGTCGGAATCAATACCTTTTAATAAACTCCAAACACTAAAAATAATACCAATGTGTATTATGTTTTCAATATCGCCCTTTGTATGCAATAAATTAATAAAAAATTATAGGCTACGCGGCAATTCTGACCTAAATCTGATAACACCTTCCATCTGTGATTTATTATTATGATTTATGGCCGTAAGTTGGATCCACCGCTCCTTTTCTCTTCCGCTTGCTGATAACATCGCGGATGAAGGTAATTTCGCCATATCGCAATAATTTGACTTTCAATATGATGATGTAAACTAATATCCTAAACAGTTGCTAAACCAATTATGTCCTGATGAAGACAACTAATTTCGAAACAAAGTTTGGAACGCAACACTTGTTTATCGAGGTGATGGAACTCGTGTTAGCTCGAGATAAGTGACATGTTTGATCAATTTTATTTAAGGAAAACTGTGTTTCGTTGGTAAAGTTTAAATTGTATTTGGTTGCTGTATATAAAATAAAATAATTCATAATTGAGTTTCGCTAATAGAAAGTGTTAATAGGATAAAACGCCTGATAAAACTTTAAAGAATATTTAGAATTTTAAAGCA